CGAGCAAGCATCGGCGACATGCATATATCGCCCATCAGGCCATGTCGAGTGCCGATAAGTGAAGTGTCGTGAATCGTAATGCGATCAAGGAGGATGATGCATCACCTCACACACCATAACAATGTGCTCAAGACTGCTAGGAGAAGGCACATGCAGAATATAATTGGAAGGCGATGTAAGTGGAAGGGTGTCTGTGACAAGCTCAACGGTTAAACATTCTATTAGGGAGGAACCATCTATAAGATTGGATTCAAATGGCTAGAGGCTTGTTTAGTCTACACGCTTGGGTTGTTGCATATCACGTTCACTTTGGTTAATTCACGATCGTTGATAGTTTAGTGTGCTCAAATTACAGTATCAAAGTGTTCAAATTTCAGTGAAGTTCAGATTTTAGTTTTTTCTTACTACTCTCGTTAATCGTTATGGAAATCAATAGTTGTTGTGTTGCGAACAAGTAATTTTGCATATCGTTTGAAGAGGAATGTTTTCATGTGGAAGATATGAGTTGCAATGAAGTGTTGCCATTGAAACTTTCTCAATTAGTTTTGTTCGAAGGTCATTTGGTCGACCCAATGCAGTTGTCGGTGCAAAACTTCTTCTTTAAACAGGAGAGATATGAATTCAATACTTGTAGAATTTGAAAACTTAGATATTACTCAAGAAGTATCTGAAAACTTAAATATTACTCAAGATTGCTAGTTGAATGCGTAGTTTGGTCAACAACTGGTGGAAAAAGAAGATTAGTAATCACTGTTGGCCATGGGAAAAGTGGTTGGTTAGCGTTTTGGGACATGTTGAAGCTTTGTCTCTCAAGGTGGAATGAAAGATCAAAAGATCAGTTATCTTATACTGAGGCTTTAGAAGGTAAAAGGAGGATGGCCTTTAAAGGACCTTCTCATCTGCATGTCAAAAGAAAAGACATCGTACAGGATTCATAGATTAATGGTTTTCTGAGAAGATAGAGAGTCCTAAACTTCCCCAAGGGTTTTTCAAAGCAATTTATAAGTCTTGGAGTTGGATCCGAATAATGTCATGGTCATTACTAAATTTTGTGCCCATGACAATTGGAAGGAAATATCTGATGGTCTAAAACGAAAATTTTAGCAAGATTATCAAATTAATCCTTTTATGGCAAATAAGGCCTGATTGAGGTTCGAGGATGGTAGAATTTTGAAATAAGAGTGGGTTGATGGTAAGTGGTGAAAGATAGGTATCTACATGTGAAAATTGAGAATGTAGGTGGTTAAAGCGTAAGAAGTAGGGTATGTTGGGAATGTGAGGAGTTTCATTTTCAATTTGGTTCATTTGAGGGTAGAATCTTTAATGGATGGATTTTGAGGAGTTATCTTGGCTTTCAAGGAGAGTCGTTAATGGTTTTTGGAAAACAGCGGAATTTCTGTTCGGTTTTTTGAAGAATTCTCGCAATTAATTCTTGTTGGTTTGCGAGGAGCCTCTCAGTTTTGAATCCTGAAGAGTTGTTATTAAAGGAGACTTCTTCGTTCATCTCATTGCTTGGTTAGCTTTTCTTACCTTAGAGTTAGAATGGTTTAACAAGGAAAGAACCATTGGTTTAGAAGCTCAACCTAGAAGAAAGTTGGAGATTGAGGCCGAACATGTTAGAAAGTTTGCCGAAGCTTTGCTCCAAAATGTTTCCTCAAATACATAACCTTGTATCATGAAGTTGATTTCGGAAACAATGAACACTACAAATGTGAACTCAAAGGCACGTGTTGAAATTAGGGTGCACTATGCAAAAGAGCAGCTCATTGGGTTTCCCTTCATTGATGTATGAAAAGGAGAAAAAGTTCAAGGATACAAACTCCCGAAGGAGAGATATAAAGAGAGAAAAGAAATAAAAGAGGTCCAACAAGGAGCAATACAGATAATGAAGAGACAATAAAAGCCAATAAGATCATGCTAACTAATAGCAAAACAATCCAACAAGATGCAAGGGCACAAAAAAAAAACTTTAAGAATCTTTAACTTTGGACTTTCCAGCAACTCCATCAACGTCTTTAACATCTAGAAAAAGAGCATTGATATCTTGAGCAAATTTGGCTCAAATTTCATCATTATTCAAGAATTACTCGCTCTCCACAATTTTCTCCTCTTGGGAAGCCCTTTTAGTGTCTTAATTGTTATCTCCTTTTATTTTAGTGTTATTTTACTTTTCAGCATTTTCTTTTTAATTCCTTTCGGAATTTGTATCTTTGAACACTTTTTGATGTAAACCAAATGAGAGAGAATTTTATGGATTGAAAAAACTACTCAACAAATGAAGACAGCAGCCCCTTCTATAGAAGAGGGCTAAAGACATTTAACAAGAACTAACTAATAACAACTAACCAACTTCAGCCTTTAACTAATAACTAATAAAACTAATGGGTTGGTAATTACATCACTTTTACTTCTTTTCATCCATCTAAATGAAAAGTTTGTTTCTTGTTTCAAAAAAAAAGTATTACAAAAGAGCAGCTAGGGTTCCACGATGGCTAGGTTCAAAGGGTGGCAAAGGCAGTTAGGGTTGTTTTTTCTGCTTTGATACCATTTTAAGTTTGGGAGAATAAAAGTATCATGATATTTTCAATATGTAGAGAGACCCATTTCACCATAAGAAAAAACAATAGAAAACAATAAAGACCGAATATTGATGACTAATATTTACAAACAAATATCTATAAATATTAGAAATTCCAGCAAATATGCATATACGTACACACATAACCATGCATGTTTGTGTACTGATTTCCTGCCCCAAAAGAAAAAAAGGATTCATCCATTATTTGGGGACTTTTTACTAGTGGAGTATACATCACATCTTTTAAATGGAAAACCATGTGTAAGTTGATGAACCCAGCCTAAGTACCTAGTAGAGTAAACATATCCATCACTATTAATTACCTTAATATGGCCATCATGCGCTATTAATAAATTATCAGGCTTTAGATCCCTGTGAACTACCCCAAGTGAATGCAAATATTCCAAAGCAAGAACCTGGAAAATCGAGGAAATGAACAAATATTTAACTTGCAATACTGATAAGTGTTTTCACTTTGCATACCTATTGAAAGATGAAAAGGAACATATACATACAACTTCTGCGATATATACACGAGCAACCTCTTCATCTAAGCAGCCTAAATTTCTCAACAAGGAGTAAAGGTCTCCTCCATTCAAATACTCCATCACGAGGTACAAATTTTCACGACAAGTAAAAGAATAGAAGAACCGAACCTGATACAGTTAACTTTATTATTAAAATAAAATGAAAAAAGAAAATATGACATAACTTACACGGCCAAGTAGACAAGCTCACCACAAAAGGGTTGCGCACAGATATTAAAATATCACGTTCTGCCAGAATACTTTCAACAGCATTCTTCCGAATCATGTCAGCTTTCTTCAAAACCTGGTATTGCTCACATAAAAATTCAATGCATTCAAGTCCTATAATCCATCATACAAAACAAGTTTACAGTATAGAAATACATATCATACGCACAATCTAGTTTACAGGGTACCAGTCAGAATTTACAAGGATACCTCATATGACAAACAAAACAGTGTCCCACTTCGAAAGATTTCAAACACTTTCAGCAAAGTTATACCACACAAAGAAGCAACCTTTTCCACTTCGGGAGTTCAGAAATTTTTTTTTTGAACGAGAAACGATCTTTTCATTGATAAATGAAAAGGAACAAAAAATTGTTCAAAGATACAAACCCCCGAAGGGGTGAAATGAAGGGGGTGAAGAAGGAAAAAAAATAAAAATAAAAAGATAAAAAGATACAAACAAACCAAACTTAATAAATGAAGCTTAAACATTACACAAAAAAAACCTCCCAATTAGAACAAATCATGCTAGGAGAATAATTTGCATGGAGAGAGCACGCCATTGTGAGGACACTAAGCACAGCAAGCATGAAAAATCAAATTATGAACTATCTTTCAACCGATGACCATATCTCCGGCGACCCAGCCCCTCTCCCCCACAAATTACCTAGTTTTACCCTACCCACCAGACCCCTCTCCGGCGACCAGTCTCTCTCAAAACCCTACACTACCTTGCCTTCTTTACCTCGCCCTTATACAGAAGGGCTTCTCRATGGTTGACTACAAATAGAAAACAAATCCTTTTCATGCTCGTTTGACAACAAATCCAAGGGAAGAGTGGTGCAAATCGAGGAGTTCCACTTAAACCGGAAGTTTCACCTAACTTTTGAAGAAATTGTGATAGTTTGGCTAACAGACACCATAGCTGACCTTCTCCTTTCACTGCAGACCCAAAGTTCTTCTGAAAGACTCATTGCTCCAATGGTTTCGCCTGGTCCTTAAAACCACGAATAAAAGAGGAAGCTTCATTGAGATTACTAAAGTCCAAAACTCAGGAGGAAAATCCAATTTAGGGGTTCCAGCAGGAGAAAACTTCAAAGGATGGAGTGCCTTTAAACAGTTACTCACTGACTTCCTCAACGGCTTTGAATCTACTCAAAAGGAGAAGAAGCCAAAGAATACTATCAGGGGTAACTCTTATGCTGAAATCCTAACAAACCGAGGGAAACGACAAAAAAGACGACAGAGAACAAAACACAAAAGGAGATCAGGAGCATTAACTGGAACCAAGTAGTAGTCCTCACTCGAAGAGACTTCCATGACAACTGGGGAGCCATCTGGGAGACTTTTGAGAGTCAGTTGGAAGAGAGCTTGATAATCAATCCTTTTCAACCTGATAAAGCTCTTCTAAGCAACCCAAACGAAGCCTTGGTCAGATTTCTCTGCTCAAACAAAGGATGGATGACTTTCGATCCACTCACTCTCAAGGTTGAATGATGGAATAAATGTAGACATGGTTCTAGTACAGTAGCTCCCTTCTATGGTGGCTGGGTAAAGTTTAGAAATATCCCACTTCATTTATGGAGTGAGGACTTGTTTCGAGAAATAGGGAACAGATTCGGGGGCTACATTGATTTTGCGGATGAAAACGCAGCAAGAATTGAGAGTATGGATGTGGCCATTAAAGTCAAAGGTAATTACTGTGGTTTTGTCCCTGCAGGAATCACCATTAAAGACGAAGAATCCTCCTTTCTGGCACAGACGGTGACTTTCGAAGATATTAAATTTATAGTCCGAAAAGAAGCGTCGATACACGACGGTTTCTCACTCGAGACCGCTAGAAGCTTCACCAAGGACCGACGGAAAACTCAGGCTTTAGTATGACAGACCGCTGGAGAGGAGAATAGATGATGGCTTCCTTTACCCAACGGTTGAAGCGCCTGCCCCTTCTGCGATCTCGAACAAAGCACCATATGGGACAAAAGGTAGGGCTGAATTAATTAACTGTGGGAATCAGACAGGTACTACGGAGCCACATCAAAGTCAAAGAGCTACTTTTGGAAAGGAAATTGATCAACCCATAAAGCCAGCTGCTCCTATTCATAAAGAGGGAAGTTTGGAGAAAATTAAAGATACAACAGAAAAAGGAGTCACACAAACCGAGAAGGGGTAATTTCAAGAAAGGACAAAAAGGCTCCCYAAGCTTTCTAAAAGGCATCGTTTCCTTGACTGAAGAGGAAAGAATACAACAAAGAAAGAAACAACGGGAAGAGGAAATTGCTGAGAATGCTAAGAAAAGGGGAAGCAAATCGAGGTCTCCTCTGAATCCTCCTGGTCGAGTGAGGACCTCTCAATTCCAAATAGTCCTCAATCAAAAGAGGTGCCTTGAAATATTCCAAAGGATTATCACAGTTGCTTCGAAGAAGTCATCGAGACAGGCCATGAAGAGGAGAATATCAGCAAAGGCAAGGAGTTGGTAATCTTAGAAGCAGAGCCATTAGAAAGCACAGAAAGCACTTGTGCTTTAGAAGAACAGGATCCAGAAACAGAGGAGGAGACGTTTCTTGATGAAACCCCTTCTGAAAAGATTTTTCCCTTTACCAAAAATATGGTAGTGACCCTTTGGGAGAATAACCTTTGCATTAGTCCAATCCCAAATAAAGGGAAGTCCACAGGGAAAGGCTCCAAACCAAATAATGCAAAAAGTAGAGAAGTGAGGAATCTATTGGCGACCTGGGAAAATGAAGCAAAATTAGCTAAGAGGACAGTAATAGAGGGCTCCTCTGTTGCTCAATGAAAGTCAACTCTTGGAATGTGAGAGGTCTGGGAGCCACCTCTAAAAGAGCTCTAATTAAGGATCTCTTGAACAGAGCAAATCCGACTTTAGTGTGTTTGCAGGAAACTAAGAAGAATCAGGTAAATAGATCTTTTATCAAATCTATTTGGAGTTCTAGGCACATAGGCTGGCTTGCTCTTGATGCAGAAGAGACGGTAGGGGGCATTCTTGTTATGTGGAATGAACAAAAGATGTCTATTTTAGATACGGCCGTTGGTTTGTACACTGTCTCTGTTAATTTTAAACTCTTAGGTGGCAGAAGCGGTTGGTTTACTGGCGTTTGTGGCCCTTCGAATACAGCTGGAAGACCTGACTTGTGGAGAGAATTAGAAGACTTAGCGGGCCTTTGCCGGGGGCTTGGTGTTTAGGAGGAGATTTCAACGTTGATAGATGGATCACTGAAAAAATTGGAAGGAATCCAGGTCGAATCACCCGAAGTATGAAGGAGTTCAATGCTTTAATTGACACCCTCAGTCTCCTAGACCCTCATTTCGACAATGGCATCTTTATTTGGTCCAATATGCGCTCTTCCCCAACTCTCTCCAGGTTAGATCGTTTTTTATTTACTAGTGACTGTCGTAATAGTTTTGCATATCAAAGAGCTACAAGATTGTTTCGTTCTACCTCAGATCACTTTCCGATTCAGTTGGCGTCCAAGGAGGTTACTTGGGGTCCAACCCCTTTTAAATTTGAAACGTATGGCTTGATTCCCCTCTGTTGATGCCTTTAGTAGAAAAATGGTGGTTTTATCACCCTTTGAGAGGTTGGCCAGGGTACGGTTTTATGGAAAAGTTGAACAGCCTGAAAGGAGAGCTTAAACGGTGGAACAAGGAAGTCTTTGGCAATGTAGGCTTAAAGAAAGCTTCTCTGTTACGAGCCATAGAAATTATTGACAGAAAGAAAGAATCAATTGTTCTTTCCACAGAAGAAATTGATAGAAGAAAGTTTCTTAAAGAAAGCCTGACAGAAACAATTGTTCAAGAGCAAAGAATCTGGCCTCAGAAGGGGAAGTTGACATGGCTTCAAGAGGGCAATGAAAATTCCAATTTTTTCCATAGATGGTCCTCCCACRAGAAAAATCGTGCCTATATAGGAGAATTGCAAGATGAGCTAGGGAATGTTCTTAATAAAGGTGAAGGTGAGGCTGAATTCTTAAGGTACTTCTCTTCCCTTTACACAACCACAGCAGATCATTGTTTTATGATGGAAAATGTAGGCCAGTCCCCTCTCCCGATGGAACAGAACAGTCACCTTGAAGCGCCTTTTACCGAGGAAGAGATTAGTAGAGCTATAGCAGACTTGGGAAACCTCAAATCTCCAAGGCCAGATGCGATGACAAATTAGTTCATGAAAAAGGCATGGAACATCTTCAAGTCCGACATGATGAAGGTGTTCCATGATTTTTTCGAGAAGGAGATTATTAATAAACGCACAAATGAGACTTTCATTTGCCTCATCTCAAAAAAGCCGCATCCTTCTTCGGTTAATGACTACAGACCTATCAGCCTTGTCTCTTCCTTGTACAAAATACAAAATAATAGCAAAAGTTCTAGCTGCTAGACTGAAGAAAGTTCTCCCCTTGATTATCCATGACTCTCAAGCCGCTTTTGTAGAAGGTCATCAGATTTTAGATGCTATTCTTGTTGCCTCGGAAACCGTGGGTCATTGGAAAAAGGAGAAAAAGAAAGGCTTTCTTCTGAAGTTGGATTTTGAAAAGGCTTATGATAAAGTAGATTGGCTTTCCTTGTTGAGGTGCTAAAGATCAAGGGGTTCGGAAGTAAGTGGGGCAAATGGATTCAAGGCTGTCTTACTACTACGAATTTTTCTATGATTATCAATGGTAGACCAAGGGGCAAAATTCATGCTAGGAGGGGTACAAGGAGATCCTCTCTCCTCYCTCCCCTTTCTTGTTTACCATTGTGGGGGACGCGTTGAGCAAATTGATTCATTTTTGCAACGAAAGGAACATTATCAGAGGTTTCTCCATAGGCTATCCTACTGTGGAAGTCACACATTTGCAATATGCGGATGACGTTCTGATTTTTTGTCCTTTCAACCCTCATATGATGGAAAACTAGTGGGGTTTGATTCATATTTTTCTCCTGGCTTTGGGTCTCTCACTAAACATAAACAAATCAACAGTGATTAGTATACATTGCAGCGTTACAGAGGTTAATTTTTGGGCTGCAACTTTTGGCTGCAAATCCGAAACTCTTCCGTTTACATATCTGGGTTTCCCTCTTGGAGGAAACCACAGGGCGGTTAGTTTTTCGGACACGGTTGTGGATAAGATGCACAAAAGGCTTCAAAAATGGAGATCTTTGATGCTTTCGAAAGGGGGTCGCCTCACCCTGGCTCAATCAGTCTTAAATAGCATTCCAGTTTACTTCTCGATTTTAAAAGCTCCCAAAACCGTGACTGCATCGATGGAGAAGCTTACGAGGGATTTTATATGGAACGGAGGTACATACAAGCCGGCTAGCAATTTAGTGAAGTGGTCTTGGGCAGCCTTGCCTCACAAACGGGAAGGTCTAGGCATCGATTCTCTTTCTCTTAAAAATACAGCCTTCCTTATGAAGTGACCCTTTGGTGCTTTGCAGTGGAAAAAAACAGTTTATGGAGAAAGATCATAGCAGCAATTTATGGTGAAGATACCCATGGTTGGTCTACTTTACCTTCAGGGGAATCTTCACGTGGCAGACCTTGGATGGACATCCAACATACTAACTCTTTCTTTGCCAACCTCGTGTATTTTAAAGTTTCTAAGGGTGAGAATGTCAAATTTTGGGAAGACACTTTGGCTCGACGACTCCCCCCTCTCAATTACCTTTCCAAGTTTTTATGGCTTATCCTTCAAAAAAGGTATGTCGATAGCAGATTGCTGGGTTTCTGAAGCAGCAACTTGGGATCTTTGGTCTGAGAAGAAATCTCTTTGAAAGGGGGATGGACAGTTGGGCAGCTCTCACGGACAAATTAGATGGAGTGTTTTTATGGCAAGGTAGAGACAAAATTTGGTGGAAGGTTGATAGCACAGGGAGGTTTTCTGTAAAGTCTGCTCTCACGGCTATTACCACCCTTTCCCCTAAGTTAAGTTCCGCCACAGCTTCCATTATCTGGAATTTCAGAGTTCCAACGAAGGTAAAAATCTTCCTTTGGACTCTTTTCTATCAGGGAACCAACACAGCAGAGAAACAACAAAAGAAACTTCCTAATTGGGCTCTCTCTCCTAGTATCTGTACCTTGTGTTTACGTAACTCTGAAGAGGTGGACCACTTGTTTTTACATTGCCCTTTTGCATCGCTGGCTTGGAACTACATAGCTTCTCTCTTTGATTTCTCCTTGTGTCTTCCAAGGAAGATAGATGACTTTATTTCAGAAGGTTTTGGTGGTTTTGCCCTTAAAGGGAAAGCTTTTGTCCTCTGGAATTGCACGACGAGGGCTCTCCTTTGGCTTCTTTGGCGAGAAAGGAATAATAGGATTTTTGAAGACAAAGTAGCGTTGAAAGATTCTTTTTTTATGAATATCAAACATATGGCTTCTTGGTGGGCTTCAATATACAATAAGGTCTTTTGTAATTACAGTTTGTTTTTTATTATGCAAGATTGGAAAGCTGTGATTAGATAGTCTTGAGGGGAGGGTTCTCTCTACCCTCCGCCTTTAGGTTGTTTCCTCCCTTTGTTGGGTTCTTTCTTTGGTAATATACATCTTTGTTTCTTATCAAAAAAAAAAAACTATCTTCATAGTTCTCACCCCCACCCCCCTCCTCCCAATTAAYGAGGTGGGCACCTCCTTCCTCATTAGCACCCTCCATAGGAAATCTTGAATCAACTAATCAATATTAGCACATATTAATAGGCGCACAAAAGACAACAACAAATAACTGGGGGTATTATGGCTCAGAGGATAAATGGTACAAGCCAAAACTTAGCAAGGAAGACAAAAATCCTCTTTTAGGAGGATAGTGGATGCGTGAGGCCACAGTCAAATCTTCCTTTTCGAGGCTCTATAATGTGGTCAATTCCAAGGGGTGCAATGTTAGTCAATATTTGTCAGGGGATTCAAATGGTTGGAACCTACAATTCAAGAGAAACAACACTAACTCCTAGATCTCATTTGCCATATCTGGCCAACTATCAGGAACGATACTAAATGGTGGATCCTCTATTAAGTGGATGCTTCTTGGTAAGTTCCCTTGTCCCTGCCCCAAATTATAGCATGCGCCTCCTAACGTCACTTTGATCGAGATAATTTGAAAGGTTGACATCTCTAAAAAGATGAAAGTTTTTCTTTGAGTGCTTATTCAAGGAAAACCGAATGCTTGTCATGTGATATAAAAAAAGAAGCCCAGAGTTCTTCTTTCACCAAGTTGTTATGTTATGGGCAAACGCACCTCTTCTTACAATGTTCCTTCGCTTATGCCACTCCGTCTAAAATCCTCAGCTTCTTTAGTATTAGGTTGTATTTTCCGATGGTAAGGAAACAACTCTCCTTCAACTTATTAGTGACACCATTTTTTTTACAAGAAACCACAATTTCATTGAGAGAAATGAAAAAAAAATAAAAGGGCGTAAAAAAAACAGCCCAACAAGAGGAATCCTGCTCAAGAAAAGAGCTTCAATCCAAAAGAATAACAGCTAATTGATAAGTACAAAAGACCCTAGAAACCGAATCCCACAAGGACGTATTCAATCTAAAGAGATCCCAAACAAACTTCTCAAATCTCTCCACCCTCGAAAAGATTCTATTGTTCCTCTCCTGTTAGATGCCCTACAAAGTCGCCAAAAAACAGGCCTGCCACAAAAATCTACCCATGTCCCAAAGGGGACACAACACCTCCTCCATCACCCTACAATCTCTACTTCAAGCCGAAGACGCCCCCAAACACCCAAAGAAATGAAACCATAAATTCTACACAAAATGTCAGGACCACAATCAAGATCCTCCAAAGCTCCTCTATGGAGTACACACCACTGCGGGCCTAGAAAAAAGGAAGACTACCTCTGGATACGATCCGAAGTATTGACTTTCCCAAGTAAGACCTGTCAACCAAAGAACTAAATCTTTTTTGGAATTTTGATCTTCAAAGGAGAGGTAAACAAAAGGGCCAACAGGGAAGAAGGGGAGCTCAGAATACGAAAAGAAGAGCTACAGGAAAAACCTCTAGAAGGGCTAGAGGACAAAACCCGCACATCCGCCCGCCCCCTAGAACGAAACGAAACGTCGGACAGCAAACCAATCAAAGCGAAGACTCTAAAATCTCTCAATCCGTCAAGGAGAGGACTTCTTGTCTTGAGGAATTTTAGGACTTGGACTTTTTGCTAGTATTTTCAAAGCAAAAAGCGGACTTTAAGGCGACAAGGTTCTTAATCGCCTTAAAGCGAGAGGCAATAAAGAGGCATCGCCTAGTTGAAGCAACGCGCACTAATAAAATAATAAGTAAATATTATCTATAATAGTTATATACGTAAAAAGAATACTTAGTTTTTAAAATGTGAAAATATTAACAAAAGTATTCATTATTAAATTATTTAAATAAAAATTAACTTAAATAATGATGAGGAAAGAGAGATGTTCAAAATAAATTTCGATAGAAATTATTTTTAAAATAGGGTAAAGTGCTCTAAATGCAAGTTTGTATTTATTGGAGCAAAAATACTGCCATTTGGCAGTTTGCCTTGCATGCAGCTAGCACTTAACTCTCCTAGAAAATGTAAGAAGGAAAGGGAGAAGCTTCCATCTGACTTTTCTTATTCTTTTTCGATTTGATCCTGCTCCTCCTCAGTGAATCTATCAGAAGATGCAGTGATATCATTGTAAGAGTGGTTGTTTCTCCCAATCAGTGTCCAAAAGAAAGGTCTGTTAATTTGCAACCACAAAATCTCCTTTTCTTTCTTGAATGGTGGCCAGCAAGTTTGTGGATAAGACGTCATTCATGTTGATGGGAAGAAAGACTTGTCACCCRTAAGTAGAGAGCACCATTACCCAAAAGTTTGCAGGCTGGAAAGAGATGGCCTTGTGACTCATATTCCTTTTTACTTTTTTTTTTTTTTGATAAGAAACAAACAATTCATTGATCTATCTAAAGAGGAGACAGCCTAAGGGCAGAGGGTCGAGAAGACCCTCCCCCAAAAGCTAAACAATGGCAGCCTTCCAATTCCTATCCATCATATGAAGACTATAATTACAAAAGAATTTCTTGTGGTATAAGGACCACCAAGAGGCAACATGCTGTACACTACTACAAAACGTCTCGTCAATATGTATCTTGAACAAGCCTCCTATTCCTTTCCTTCCAAGTCAGCCACAAAGTCACCCTCACCGCACAATTCCACAGAACGTAGGCTTTGCCTTTGAGCAAGGCTCCCCCAAAATTTTCAAGAAATAAATCATCTATTCTTTTAGGGAGACAAAACTGAAGATCTAGCTCCGACCGAACAAACGCCCAGACCTTAGTAACAAAATGCACCAATTGGGCAGTAGAATCATAAGGGGATTTATTTTATGGACTATGTTGTATGTGGGGAACTCCAGCCAGTAATTTTCAAATTTAAAGGGCATAAGGACCCATCCGGATTGCCCCAACATCAAAAGAATGGGATAGTGATTGGAAGTAGTTCTCATAAGAAACTTAGCACGCGGGTTTTTCTTGAACTTGTCAATCCATTCTCCAGAGCATATTTTTATCAATTTGGGAGAAGATGGGCCTCTCTCAAATTGGACTAGGTGAAGGAAGCATTAACCCACATAATGTTAATCTTTTCCATATTCTAGAATAGACAAAGAGAGTTTTTAAAGAATAATAATAATAAGAAACTATCTTCATTGATTGATAAAAATAAAAATATGGATAGCTATTTTTATATTTTTGGGAAAGCACCGGACAAAATTATACTTTTGGATAATTAATTTAAGTTTACCACTTTGAGTTTTAGAGAAATTTTATACATGCAGGCAAAGAAATTATCATTTTCAATGCAATAATGAGAGAAGAATTTTGAGCACGAAGAAATATCATGGACTTCATTGAAAATTCTATCAAAGAAGAAAATCATCGCCCCTGAATGACAAACCCATCACAAGCACAAGAAAAACCAGGGAAAAAATAGCCAAACAAATTAAAGTAAAATGCTGGGAACCTTATTGAAGCATCGACGTGCAAACTAACCTTTATAGCAAAAAGGTCCCCCGTTGTCCTCTTTTTAGCCAGGAAAACCCGACCAAATGCCCCACGACTTATTGGTTTTATAATCTCAAAGTCATCAATTGAGGTACGGTCCTTTGAAGAATGAATGGGGCTTGTTCTTAAGCTACGAACAATGTCATCTTCAAGAGGAGCATCTTCATCAATAATGGTGCTTGTTATGTCAATCTTTTCATCATCCACCAGCTCACAAAGCTGCAAATACTTTTCCCTACAAAATCACTATCCATCAAAACTCAAGAGAAGTTCTTAGCAGAATGGGAGTCATTTGAAAACTTCGACAATAAAATGCCAAACGATGTGGTAAAGTGCATATTACTTCAAAAGTCAATTTATACTGCAAAGCTACCGACCGGATTAACTTCTCAATGCGAGTGCCAAAAGTGTCAACTGTCAATGCATTAAACTTCCTGCGGTTAATGACAACTCTCAAGTCTTCAAGGTATGTTAACAAATATTGCATCGAGCAATCATCACCCAGAAGTGTATTTGCCGTACAACGTGCAATATCTGCAAGATCATTGATCTGCAAAGGATAGCCAGTTCTTGCTCATTATTGGCACAATAACTAATTCATGAACCTTGAGTTAATGATAATTATTTTCATAATAATAGAAGTATTTTCAATTTTATGAGAAACTCGTGTTACGGTATAAATGATAATATGAAAAAATGGCATGAAATTATCACGGTTTATAAATGACAGAAAAACTACCCCCTCCACAACATCAAAGTACAATCTACTTATGTTTTCGGCATCTAGTAAGAACTCTTTTTGAGCAATAATATTAGCCAAACACCTCCATTATTATAAGAATAATTTCATTAATAAAATGTAAATTACAAACCATAAGTCGCCAAAAGCTAATGGAGTTTTTCTTTAACAAGATACAAACTTCTCATTCTCATTGATATAATGGAAAGATACAAAAATGTCCAAAGGAAACAAACTCCCATAAGGAATGAAATAAACAGAAAAAGCAAGAAGCTAATACGAGAAAGTGAAAGTCTCCTAATTTAAACAACTATAATTGGGAGAATAATGAAATATATATGAAATGGAAAAATGTTAACATACAAACCCCCAAAGGACTGAAGGAGTGAAAAAAGGAGGAAGAAAAAGAAGAGAAAAATAACATAGAATTAGCTCAACAAGAGCAATTCGAACTCAAGAAGAGAAAGAGCATTCTAGGCCGGAATTCATAAAACTGCTTGCAACAAAACTTGACCAGAATAACTTCTGAACGACAAAAGCTTGAGGGATAAAACCTTCCTTAGAACCAAAAACGAAAACCAAACTCCAAAATGAACCGATCAAGGGCTAGGGACTCATGAAAGAGTATAAAACATCTTGGAGGAACTAAACCACAACCAGCCGAAATGCTAAAAACAGAGCGAGAAAAGGCCAGCTCCACGAAGACTATCAAGGAGCAAACCCCAAAAACAAAGCCTCAAAACTAAGTGCAAAATATCCTCCAGAAAAAGCCACCATATGCCAACTCACAAACTGATAGGTCTGCCAAAAATATTCTTTGGACTCGTCACCAACCAACCAAATTGCAGAATAAAAACACACTAAAAAGGTTGCTATCCAGATGAGGGGCACCCAACAAACCTTTATAAAGCCAAATTCTCACTTTTCAACTATCCGAAACAACTTAAAACTCAGAGGACCCAAATGTCTGCTATCCAGATGAGGGACCCAGACCACTAAGAATGTCTTAAAAATCATTTCATTCTTTGAACATTTAAAGTAAATTGGGAATTATTTCTTAATCTTGCTACCATTAACTTACATGGGAATTATTCCAAACTATATATATCTATATATGTAATGTGTATATATATATATGAGAGAGAGCCAACCTCCAACCTTGTGAACAAGTACAGTCCCAGCGAAACCTCTACGGCCAGCTATACCTCGAGGTGGAGGCAAAGCACAATCATCCCCAACAATAACAGTCCTCACTATATTTTTTAATTTATAGGTTAATGGAGGAAATATCCAAACTATAGTTTGTTTCCTTTTCCTTAACTATATTTTGACACTACAAAGATCTCAAAAATAAAACATACTTCATTTTTGTTTTATGGGGATAGCAGCAATGTCCTGCATCCACAACCACATGCCCAACAATAACAGTCTTGACTATATTTTTTAATTTATTGGTCAATGGAGGAAATATCTAAACTATAGTTTGTTTCCTTTTCCTTAACTATATTTTGACGCTACAAAGATCTCAAAAATAAAAAAATACTTTATTTTTGTTTTGTGGGGATAGCAGCAATGTCCTGCATCCACAACCACATGCTACAATTGCATATTTTATGATTAAAAAAGCCCAAAACAAATGCACGTTAACATAAAGAATACCTGTGTAAGATCATCATGCTCATAGTAAGCACCTTTCCCCGCTAAGAATAAGTCAAACTGACTGGTTCTTGGTGTTAATAATGGAGATCTAGGAGTCATACTACCAGCCGATGATGTTGTCATACCCTGATCAGACTTTGGACCAAAACGAGTTTTACAAGACATGGAAGGTAAACCTTTTAAGTCATCCATAAAAACAGAAGTTTCAGTTTCATGAAAGCAATCAAGCATGTCTTCTGAGCCCCTGCGAGACCAATCACTATGTTTCGGGGAGATATCAGATTCTTCAGTCACACTTGAATTTGAGACTTTTGCAACATCTGGACTTCCTACATGTTGAGAATCCTTTTGCGTGAAGGACTCTACCATCTTCTCTAGAGTTTCAGCAATCCTAAGTAGACGTTCATTAACACTTACACCCTTCTGATCACATCGATCAGCAACTGCACAAATCCTTGAATGGTCTTCAACATTTGCAGTAGGAATCTCTTCTTCACAAATGCGACAAATTATTGAACTCTCATCAGATACAGTTGGTTGATCACCCCAACCCCAAGAAGGTTTATGTTGGTGCTTGGAAGGCTGATCATGACAATCTCTGGGTAGAGGAAGCTCGGAAACCTTAGCAGCAACCAAATCAGTTTCAGAAACACCAGTCCTGACTTTAGACAGATTCAAAGGTTTGAACTTCTTACTATCACCCTGCTCCTTCAAAGTAGGCTCTTTCACACTTTTTGCTGCTGGAGAAGGCAACCTTTTCCAAGAAGCCATCCGGTCTCTGCCAGTAGGAGACACCAAGTTCTTTGAAGGATCAGGAGATGTCGGGACATTATTTCCAGGCAGTACATCATGTTCTCTGCTCCAATCCAAGCCACGCTGCTCCTGGCTATAAGATTTCCTGGATGAAGTTGTCTTAGAAGTCTTTGTTGCAGTAAAGCTTTTCATTTCCCTTCCCATAGTTGGAGGAATGCGTTTATCAGCAGAATGCAGATTTCTCGACTGACGAAGCTGAAAAACATTTTCATCTTCAGCTAACCCACTTTCTTTATGGAACTGCAGCAACCTGGTACACCTAGTGAGAATGAACAGCATTCGAGTATGAAGTTGTTTCAGCATGCCTGGAGGAAGTTCTTGGCGTCTATCATCCAATTCCTGAACAATGCCTTCACACTGAAGCCAAAATTCACCAGGAGATGTCATGGCACAGCTTCGAGCTAAAACCAACAAGTCTTCAATTGTCTCTTTCCGCTCTGGATGAGTATCATAATTCTTTTCTAGAATTCCAACCAGATCAGCAGCAAAAATAGCAAGATCAGAATTTACTTCTTCTTTTGCCTTGTCAAATTTTGCCCGTATCATAACTAAGATCTCCTGCAGAAGATGTGATTAATGAACACAATAAGCTTCAGGAGGCATAACTTGCTACAGAGCTAGAAAATATAACACACAAAGAAGAGATAGCACCTCCAAATTATTTAAGCGGCGTGACTTCCAAAGTGGGAATGGTCGTACGCCTTTTGAATTTAGTTCATGGGAAAAACTTTTGATATCGACGGGATAGTTCCTTCGAGGAGCACTTGTGACTCGAAGTATAGCTTGAAAGCGCGGAGATTCAGACTCCTTTGGATTTTCACAATCATAAGAAGACTGGAAAAACAAGTATTAATAATAATTCAACTACCTCACAAAATGAATGAAAAGCAAGTTTTTTGTAAAATAAACAGAGAATTCATTCCAAAAAAAAAGTCCACAGCCAAAAGGACAACGGGACAACAGAAAGGTGAGAAATATTACAACTTAAATAAAATATATGAAATATTGTCAGTTTTGCAATTAGAAGGAAAGATGGAAATTGAAGTAGCATTAAAAAAGCATATTTTAACATTACCTCTGGCGTACAAAAATCTGAATTTCTTAATCCTTCAGAAGATCCCCATGCCGATTCATAGTGTCCTGTGATATTAGTTACTGATGTTAGATGAATTACAACAATTTTCCAGTTATGCTAATATAATTACCTGAGAAAACGATACAGCAGCAATCAAATAAATACAATAATACAAGATTAACTTGAAGGATGATGATATTGAACACTTCTGTGATTTAATGCCTTTATTAGCAGGGTTTCAAAGGGGTTCAAATAAGCTCTAGAGATGATAAAAAAGACGTCCATGTTACATAAGCTCACAAATGGTTCTCTGATGCCTTCCTCAAAGGTAGTTTGGAAATCCATAAGTCAAAAGAAATCAGTTTCTTCACATGAATTTTGCTCTATGGTGATTTCAACACATCGGTTAGGCTTCAAAGAAAGCTCCCTTCCGTGGCATTATTTCCCTCGATATATGTCTTCAAAAGATCAAAATCATCTTTTAGTTCACTGTCCTTGTTCATTTCTTTGCTAAGTTTCACAAATTCGTCTTCCTTCAAGTTGCTCCTATACATAATAAGCCATGAGAGGATATTCTGATCCCAAAAATCAGCAACGAAATCTTGAGGGCTGTAAAACCACCTTAAAAATAAGTGGAAAACACAATTTAAGAGGAATAACATCGAGCCAACAGTCTCTTCCTAATCAGCAACTCTTCCAATTGCTCAGTGGCGGATTATTGGGATATTTCCACCAATTCCTGGAAGTTTACTTCGAGAAGAAATTTGAAAGACACTGAAATAATTGAGTTTACTTCTCTCCTTGAGGCTCTAAATTCCACCTCCCTCTCACTTTTATAAGACAAAATAAAATGGGGTCTTGACTCTTCAAGAATCTTCTCAGTAAGATCTATGTCAAGGCACTTGGAGAAAGGCCACAAATAACCAAAAAAACTGTTAGCAGCTTTTTGGAAAACAGGTAGCCCTAAGAAAATAAATGTGCTTTCCCTTTTTTTTAAGCAAGAAACGAACTTCTCATTGAAATAATGAAAAGGAACAAAATGTTTAACAATACAAACTCTTGAAAGAGTGAAAGATAAACATAAATAAACAGATAAACTAAAAATGGGAACAAAAGGCACCCCAATTATAACAAATAAGAGAAGAATAATAGTTCCCAAAAATAGTTTACAAAGAACACCATTGAGAGGCTTCACATTTAGCTAGGTTAAACCGATCGAACAAAGATTTGTGCTGACCCTTGAAAATTCCTTTGGTTGTTCCCACTTCTCTTTCTCGGGATCAGGTTTGGGCTTCACTAACTCTAAGTTCTACAACTTTTCTTCTCTGGTCATCGTCTTCCTCCCATCTCTGTATGGTCGTTCTAGTGTCACCTTCATTGGTATAATCTCTTCTTCTGTTTTTTTTAGTATCTCATTGTTCTCCTTATCAACCGAGGATCGGAGCACCATACTTGTTTGTTCCATTTTTTCAGTCATGGATTCAATCCTCAAGTCAACCTGCTTTTTCATCTGCTCCAACAATCGAATAACCTTCTTATGTGCATAATCCATTGCCAGAAACGAACTGCTCTGATACCATTGATGGAACCCAAACAACTACCAATATATTAAATTATGAAAGGTATAAGAAACTACAATAACTTCTGTTTGTTTTTTCTTTTTCTTCTTTCGCTTCCTTTGGGAGCTTGCATCCTTGAACTTTTTTCTTCCTTTTCATATTATCAATGATAAGTTTGTTTCTTGTTCTAAAAAAATAAGAAACTACAATAACTCCCAAGTAATCTGAGGTACTTGGACTCTTCTTCTCTTGAGTATTCATACTCAACCCTAAACCATCCACTGATTGCCTAACTTCATTCTTACGCCCTCACTCCATTTATAATAACTCACCCTAACAAGTTACATATCTAATTACTAAGGTACCCTCAATACCCTAATAATATCCCTAATTACCCTAAGGGCGACTCCTATCAGTTCCTTTAATGGTAAAATATTTTTGGGCAAGGCTAGAGAAATTAACTTCTAAGAAAGATGAGTAGTTACATTTCTATCTTCAAACCACTTATTCATTAGTTCAGAGTATTTCCTCCTCTTTTTTCCATGCTCTTCCCTAGGCTAGAGACATCTTGTTTCAAACTAACTCTTAGGCTTTATTTTGATTACTCCTGTTACTTCTTTTTGCCATATACTTTTAAAAGTTTTAGCCCGCCTAAGCCCCAAATCCATGTATGTCTTCAAAATTTTAGTGCCAAAAGCTAATGTTTTTTCCTTCACCAATCTAAAATCCCATCAACCAACTGTGAAATCTAAAGAAGATCATTATAAAATATAAATATAGCGATAATATTTTTGTTATAAGAAACTAAATCTTTTGTTGTTAGCATTAAAAGTACGAAAAGAGACCAATTGGAGTCTACAAAAAGGCACTCCAATTTACGTTAATAACAAAAGAATCATAATTACAATAGATAGTAGAAAAAGAACACCAAGTATTAAGATGAGCTAAGTCCCAAGTCTCCTCCCAAACTTTCTCTTTCATCAAAATTCTCCCTTTCTCAGTCTCTTCTTCCAAAAATATTATTGGGGGTTCAAAGTTCCTAAAGTAGTCTATGATTTTGTCTGGAATCTAGCTATTGGACCCTGACTACTGAAGTTGTCCGAAAAAGGCACCCTCATGTTTGTCTCCACCCCATTGTGTGCAGCCTTGGTGAAATAGTAAATAAAATGGCATCCTTTCTAATTTCAGCCATAAGTTTTGAAACTACTTATTCAACGAATTCGGTCTTTCATGATGTTTTCATAAATTATAACAAAATACAACACTCTAGCTCTTCATCGGTTTCTCCTCAAACATGAATGCTCGTACTATTTGGATGATATGAGTCAAAAATATCCTATGGTCGATCTAAAGCAAAATAAATTCTATCGATTAAATTTATAGAATTCAAAAAATGAAATACTGCTTGTCAACTCAACATCTTATACCAACTTTTCATAGAGGGCGTTTATTCATCAACTCTGACTACTGCATCCGGAACTTCAGGTATTTAATCTGGGAGAGCCGGATATCGCATTGAACTAACGGCAAGGATGTATAACATAGAGAGCTTCTATTTTCTATCCAAACATGAAAATCATGCTGATACTTTCGTGCTAGTAACGTAGAGATATACCAAAATTCTGCTCAATTGTATGAATTTAAAGACGAAAAGCACATGAAATAAAGGTACAGAGTTCAAAATCACGATATCAACAGGCTTTTCAATATTAGAGACCAGCAAACAATACCGGCTTCAGTGGACGATTCCATATTCTGTAACCGAGGCTGTCCTAACGAATTTGGACTCCGTTCAGTAGATGGTGCACTAGCGATTAGCGTATTTTCGGAATTGCTAGCGTTGTGAATATAGCTTTTAAGATTGTCCTGAAAACCCATTCTTTTCTGACTCGCCGCCTCTCTTTTTCCCCCACTAGAAGACCCCGACCATGCAGAACCTGAATTCGAGCCTGAGCTTCCATCGCCACAGTTCCTGGAAAGATTACTCGAACCCAATGACCCTTTATCACCTTTGAAACCCAGAAAGCTCTCCTGTGGCAACGGGCCTGATCTTGTCTTTATTCTATTCAGTCCAAGGGAGGATGCTAGAATAGGTGAAACCGATGAGGCCACGTCCTTCACATCAGTCGACTTCTTAGCCTTCGGCCCCGAGTTCAAGCCGGAGACTGGGTCGGACTTCGAGGGCGTCCCGATCGGCATTTGAGCTTGACTATCTTTTCGTTTCCCATCCTTGCTCCGGGAAGCATCTTTCAGAACGGTACCTCTGAAGCTGCTGCTACTGGTATTGGAAATCTGGGGTTCATCTTTGGCGGCTGATTTATTCTTCTTCTTATCGGATCTGATGGGTGAGTTAGAACCAAGGAACCGGGGACTGGATCCGTCGGGGCTTGAAGAATCAGACTTCTTTGAGGACGAGAAGAACCTGCCCTTGAAGACCATAGCAGCAGCGTTCCTTATGTTGCTGGGGTATGGAGGAAGTGTTCAATTTGGTGCTGTCCCAGGTATAGACGCAGAGATCGTTCAGAGTGACATTGAAGACTAGAATGGAAACTATAAATAGAAAAATGGGAGAAGTTTGAAAACAGAGAGTCGAAAGTAAACGTTTGGACTGGACTTTAGGTGGAAGAACATAGAATGGAGAAATACAGGAAAACAGGGAAGGCCAGCCATGTGTGCTGGCTAATAAGTCTGACTCAAATTTTGGGTTTTATTACAGGGCTTGTTTGATATGTAATGCTTTTTTCGCACTTCGGACCCTATAAACGGGATGGTGTATATTACAAACGTTATCTTATATACGCTTTTTCTTCTTTTTTTTTATTTTTTTTTACACAATTTGTAAAAAACCAAATATGCCTATGACCATCACTCTCAAACTTTGAATTGTGAAAGCTAAAACCTCACATTTTTACCGAGCGGAAAAGATTATTATTACAATTACACCTTCAAACTTTCAATTTTAGATTAAACATTCAAACTTTCATAAATTCAAAAAAAAATTGAACCCTCGAACTTTTAATTTTTAAAAAGTAAACTGAAAAATTAAATTTATTTTGACTCTATTTTTTTTACTCTCTCTTCCTCGTTCCCCTCTCTCTGGAAGTCGGTATTATGTGTGTTGAAGTTTTCTCTTCGAGAAAAATGGAACTCACTAGRGAAAATTGACAAAATAAGCTTCATGYGAGTCCCTTTTAAGTTTTTTAATCGCTCTTCTCAAAACACAAGTTTTCTAGTACATCACTTAGTTTACCAAATGACCTCTCATGCCCCTCCTTACTCCAGCCAAAAGTTTTTAGTTTTCGTCATTTTCCTCCCTTATTTCTCTTTTTCTTTATTTCTTCTCCCTACCTCTATCTTCCTCATTTTCCGGATTTTTTTCTTCTTTCTTTCTCTTTTCCATGTCTTCCGCAAGCCTAAGTTTTTTCTTGTTTACTAAACCATAAAAAAAAACCTAAATCTCTCACCATTTTTTAAATAGCAGCCTCCATAATTCCCGTGACCTTCAACAATCGTCGACGACGGATGCATCAAAGCCGACGAGGGAGGTCGTTCATCAAAGAAAGAGGCTCAGGACAGGAAGAAAGTTACGATGGGATGGGAAGGAGATAGAGAGAGAGTTGAATAAGAGAAAGTTGAGAGAGATAAAATTGAGCGAGAGAGAGAAAACGAGAGATGAGTGAGCGAGAGCGAGATTGAGCGAGAAACGATTTTAAAAATTGGAATGGAGAGACGAAATCTCAAATTTAAAATACTAAGCATTGAAGATTTTTTTAACTAAAATTTAAAATTATAAAATCGCATTAATTTTAGTATATTCAAATTTGAAATTTAATTTAGATTTGTTTTCTTAATTGTTTTTTTCCTATTTAATTATTTGAACGAATCATTTGAAAAATTAACATAAATCTCTCCTTTAATGTCTCCCCTTATTTTGATTAGGATTAGAATTCAAATTTATAATTTAATTAGGTAGTCCTCCTTTAATAGTTAATTTAAAATTTTATCTAATTAGGTGGAAGTATAAAAAAAAAATCATGTTTTTTCCTTAATCTCTTCCTCATAATATAAATCTGCTTCTTTAATCATAAATTTAAAATTTAATTTAACTCAATTTGGTGGAGTAAAGAAAAAAAAAAAAAAAGAAAAAGAAAACAATCCCTTTTTTTCCTAACCATCCCATTTTTTTCGTTATTATCACCACTTCTTCACCGCTCTCTAGATCTCGCTCTCTCGATCTCGCAAAAGAAAACAATCCCTTTTTTTCCTAACCATCCCATTTTTTTCATTATTATCACGACTTCTTCACCGCTCTCGCTTTGTCCCTCTCTCTTCTCTCCTCTCTCTCTTCTCCCCTCCCTGCGCATTTGGTTTCATGGAGAAGAAGATAGTCCGGACGGGGGGGACGTGCAAGAGATATAGAAGGAAAGTTTTTTAAATCTTGAAAATTTGATTTTAGAAGGGAGGGTGAAAGAGTTGGGAAAAATAATAAGGAAATTTTTATCTTATTTCATATGCAAATTATTCTTGTTCAACAATGTCGCCGGAGAGGCCACCAGGGAGGCGCAACAGCTCGGGATGGAAGCAGCGGACGGCAACCGAACGGGACCCCCAATCATTGAATCCTAGCGGAGACGCCAATAATTGGTGTGTGTTGTGTAGAAATCATGGACAAKATCAAGCAAATCTAAGAAATGGAGGAGAGAGGAGGGGAGAGAGAAAAGAGATGGAGTCTGGAAGAGAAGAAAAAGTAAGGAGGGACATGAAATGTCATTTGACAAAGTATGTGATGTCAGCAGTGACTAGAAAACTTGTGTTTTGGAGGGAACGATTAGAAAACTTAAAGAAACACCTAGAACGTTTATTTTGTCAATTTTCCCAACTCACTGGAGGTAAAAGAGTGAAGACGAAAAGGGGGACTCAATTAGGGATTCTTGAAGATTTTCTTGAGCGCTCATCACCCTCTTCTCGACTGCTGGGATTTTTAATTTTGCTCCAACCATTTTGGGAGGGGGAAAATTAAAGTAGGAACGGTGAAATAAAGTCCATAAAGTGTTATGGAGAGAAAGTAGAGAGAGAGATATTTAAAGTCTTGCTGACAAAAACATAAAATTGGCCGGAATTTTGAGCATCAGAGGATTCTGTTTCGACGATTCTTGTCAAACGCTTAATGATTGTCCATCGTGTCGTTCGCATTTCAATCGGTGGCGGAATTCGACGTCGTTTGGGGAAGATGTTTGCTCAAAAACTACACCCACACCTCTAACATTTTCGGTGTCCCCAATTTGTTCGAATAGATAAATTTTGTCAGTCCACAAAATACTGCTTCTAGAGAGAGAAAGTATGGATAGTGAGAACAATGATAGAGGAAGTAAAAAGAACGGAGGAGTAAAAATAAATTTAATTCTTTTATTTATGAAAATTTAAGAGTYTAATTTGTTTAAATTGATGTGTAATTTTTTTACCATAAGGGTTTAATTTTTGTAATTAAAAGTTTGAGGGTGTAATGGTAACCTTCATCATAGGGGTGTAATTTTTTTACTTGTAAAAGTTTAAAGGTGTTTGATCAAGAATTTGATCGTCTTCCAGCTTCAGTTCGAAAAGGATGAGCAGAACAACGAGCTCTAGATGAGGCACAGAGGACCTACAAAATAGAGTAGAAACTCTGATGCCAAAGTCAGCAAATGCACAAGTCAATTCGAGAGAGAATTGGTTTGTTTGCGTACCTCGAAATGAAGCGGAATGAACTTGTTTATAGGTACGAAACCTCGGGTCCCCGACGAGGCTTCAATGACTCTTTAAGGTTGTCGTGAGACATGCACGCTGTCGTGGAGTTTGTTGGATGAAGGGTTGAGTCGAAGCAATCCAAGTCTAATATTAGATCGGCTCGGCCTACACAGCTGCTCGGCTCGACACGAGAAATCATGGCCGAAGCAAACATTCTCACATAAAATGACACGTCTATGGCTATTGTTCCAACCATAATATGCCACGTGTAGGTTGAGAATTCACCTCCAACCAAGGGTTTAATATTTACTTTTTGGTATAATTGTCACAATAGTTGTGGTTGGTACAATTTATCATTTTTTTTAATGTCCAAAATCCATGTGTACTTATTGCCCAATGTTTCGTGTATCTTATTACCACTCTTCTTAAGGGTCAAGTACTTCCAAGAGCTGTCAAAATTACCTATAAACAAAGATAATGGTTCATGAAAGGTGAAAGTAATAAATAAAACTAGAGAGTAATCAAATCCAAATTTCATATTTTCTCCAATTTTATAATCTCTTGTTGTTCTTGTTTTACCGTGTCTTGTTTTGTTTCTAATTTGTAGAGAATCATCTGCATTTTTTAAATTATTTATTGACAATATATGTAGACCTATTAATCCACCAAGTGAACCATTTAGATATTTTATGGTGTTAATAATACRCATCCAATAGATGATCACACGTGTGCTTGTTATCAAGTTGAGACCTTGCATCTGCAATATTTGTTGCTCAAATAATCAAGTTGAGAGCACGATTTGCTTAGTTTACAATTACAATCCTCTGACTTGACAATTCTAGTGCATTTACATCTCAAGCATTTAATAATTATTGTAAGCCAATTGTTAAACATCTTATAGCACATATTCATACACAAAATGGTTTAGCATAATCATTTATAAAATGACAATAGTTAATTGTTGTAACATTGCTTATGAGAGCTAAGTTTCCTATATCTATACGGGACAATGCTATTTTGCCTGCAGCATCGCTCGAGTTCATTATGCCAACACTTTATCATAAGTATTATGCATTACAACTAGCTTATGGCAAGGAGCAAGATATTTCTCATATGTGAATTTGTCGATGTGCAATACACGTTCCAATTACTCTACCACAACGTATTAATATGGGCTTATTAAATATCTTGAACCCCTGATGAGTGATGTATTTACTGCACGTTTGGCTAATTTTAATTTTAACGAAACAAATTTTCAATATCACACGAAGAATTAAGAAGTTTGAAAAATAAATTAATTGAATGCATTGTTATTGTCTCATTTAGATCCCCATACAAATCAATGTGGACCTGAACTTCAAAAAATAATTAATTCGCAAAATATAGCCAGTCAATTATCAAATGCATTTATATATGCTAAGAAATTGACTAAGTCTTATATACCAATTGCATGTTCCACTAAAACTTGATGTCCTAATGGAGTTAGTTGTCATTAAAAATAATCGAAAAAGAAAGGTAGCCAATAATCAAGATGACTTGGTTGAAAATGTAAATACGCGTGAAGGAACTTGTAACATGACTAATAGTATAATTAGTGAAGAAGATCAAATGCGTACGTGAGGATAATAATAAAATTTTAACAAACTATGTCACGATAGGAAAATAATTGAACCGAATTAATATAGTTATTGACAATATTTTCCGTATAATGTTGCTCTTGATATTGTATATGAAAACGAGGATTACGAATAAAAATATATAAAACAATGTTGACAAATAAAATATTGACTTTAGAGGAAATAAGCAATCAATACTCAATTAAACTCACTTTCAAAACACCAAGTATTTGGACTAGTAGTTCGAACACCGAAAGACACTACAACTAATGTCATATGCGATAGCATAAAAAAAAACCATCAACAGACTCTCCATAGCATTGTTGGAACACAGTATTGGACGAACTTTGTACTCTACAAATTTTATATTTTTCTCTCTAAAATTATCATATAAAAAAATTGAATGAAATTTCAATAAAGTATATCACAACTGAAAATGATGGGATCAAACTAATATAATTATTGACAACAATTTTTTTATTTTGATTGATTCGTGGTTTATTGGAATTAGGATCAAATTTCTTTTAATGTTGTTTACTAAAACTGTATGGAATCGGAATCAGAATCAGATATACAACAAGTATTAGTATATCAATTTCTTCTTTCGATCTAATTACAAATACATTATTGTGTTATTTTTTTAATTAAAATAAGTTTTAATTCATTTTATTACTATATTATCGACAGTAGATATTTTTTATTATACTATTTTTAATATGAATAAATAATGAATAATAAAAATAAAATTACATCAACTAAAATAATTTTTTTATCACAACAACCCTCATTTAATATAGAATATTATTAAATTTTATTATTATAATATTTAATAATAATAAATTATATTTTAAAAAATATATTGATTTTAATCGATAATAAGAAAGTAAAATAAAAAATAACTTTATAATATTTGATTCACATCCACTAATAAAAATTATATAAATTAAAAATTTAATTATACAATAATATAAATTTTAATTATACAATTAATTGAAAAAAACATCACCCATACACGAAAAAGTATTAAAGTAACTACAATAAGTATGGAGGAATCATAGAGAAAAGATAAAAGTATTAAAGTAACTACAATAAATATGAGGAACCACGGAACAAAGAATGAGAATGATGAAATGGTTCATTTTAGTGAACGAGATTACCTAATCTGAACTAGGTCCCACTGTTTGATTCAATTTCAAATAAATATTTATTTTATGTATAATATGTTGGGGGAGAGGATTCGAACTCGCCGTTTTTCTTAGTTGGAGGTATATCTCAATTATTATACGTAAATTATGAAGCGTTTGCCCGTCTGCTTTTAACGTATCCGTTAACTCTCTCCGTCTACAAATGCCGCCTCCCACCTCCCACAACTCTTCCGAACATTGGCCCGCCCCATGATTCTTCGCCATTTTTTTTTTGGTTTTACGAAGTGGTCATACTTCTCTCCACTCATCAACTCCTCATGGCTTCAGAGACCGATGAGGAGAATGCTTGGCAAGAGGCTTTACGGAGGATGCTGCCTGCTGGAGCACCTTTACCAGACGAAGAACACCTTGATTACTCGATCGCCGTTGAGTATCAAGGCCCTCCCGTGGCTCATGAGCTACCGAAAATTGACCCGCTTGATTTGGATTCAGTTTCGATCCTCTCTCCTTCCATCGTTCCGGTCTCCGACACCTCTTCGATTCCGGTTGTCTATCCTATTGCTCCCAGGGCTTCCAGGTTCAATCGGTTAAGAAATGGATCAGTCCCTCGTAGTCCAGTGGAGAGTCATAGATCATCTTCAGTTTCAATAGTTCAATTGGAATCACAGAATAGTGAACGCTCAGAGTTTGCAAATGGCGTAGACGAGGTGTTCAGTTCAGAATTGTGCGTTCGGGACTTGAATCTAGAGTCCGAACCTGCTACGATCGAAGGGAAGCGTGCAAACACTGTGACGTTCGTTACTCCGAGAGATTCGGAAGACGACGACGAAGATGTATTTTCCTCTCCCAGGTCGTGCACGACCGATGCGACTACATCCCCGGCCGTATCCCGTGCCCAGGAAAAACGATCGAAAAAGAAAGGAATTTGTGGTAGATGCAAGAGAGGGAATCGGTTGAAAGAGAGGGAAGCTTGTTTGGTCTGTGATGCACAGTACTGCGGTAATTGTTTACTAAAGGCAATGGGATCAATGCCAGAGGGACGGAAGTGCGTGAGCTGCATTGGGCGGCCGATAGCCGAGTTGAAGAGACCAATTTTGGGCAAGTGTTCCAGGGTTTTATCAAGAGTATGTAGCCCTTTGGAGATTGAGCAGATACTGAAAGCTGAAAAGGAGTGCCCGGCTAATCAGCTTCGACCCGAGCAGCTAATTGTGAACGGAAGGCAATTACGTCCAGAAGAATTGGCCGAGATTTTGGGCTGTGAGGTCCCTCCGCAGAAGTTGAAACCGGGAAGGTATTGGTACGACAAGGATTCAGGGCTTTGGGGAAAGGTGAAAAGAAAATCAGTCCATATCCATTGACAATCTTCTACGCATCATTTATTTACCGTTAGTTTGATTTCAGGAGGGAGAGAAGCCTGATAGGATAATTAGTTCAAAACTGAGTGTTGGAGGTAAGCTTAGGGCGGATGCGAGCAAAGGGAACACAAAAGTTTTTATAAATGGACGTGAAATCACAAAGATTGAGCTCAGAGTATTGAAGGTATCAACTATCAAGTACGCTTTATATTTTCATAAATGACCAGAATAGAAGAGAAAAAAGAAGCAGGGAGAAAGGATTGGTTAATATTTTGGCTGACTTTAATACTTTGTCAAATTCGAAGCTTCTGTATTGCCTAAAGCTTCAAAATGGTGTTATCTTTCCAATCTCTTTGATAGTTACTCTAGCATCATATGCTCTAATTGGGAGGCCTTTTTTACTACTGCATTATTTTTTAGTGTATTATTGTATCTTTTAGCTTCTTTTTGGCTGCTTTATTGTATCTTATTTCTTTCATGTCTTTTTTCCATTTCACCCTTTCTAGGATTTGTATCTTTCAACAAATTTGGTTCATTTTCATACATTAACGAAAGATTCGTATCTTGTTAAAAAAAAAAGACGACAATTTTGAGAAAATTTATTCTTCAAAGCAAAGAGATGTCTTTCCATTCTTCATGTTCACATATTTTGGTGATGATTATCATATTTTCCCAATCAATATCGGGCATCTCAGTTTCTTCCCTGACCCAGTACTCATGCTTTTCTTCACCATTTCAGCATATGAAAATCGAGAGGTAGAGTCCGAATTTGGCTGTTTTGGCTTGGATTTCTCATTAGCATATGAAAACCAAGAGACAAATTTTGAAATTGGTTGATTTGACTTAGGCTTCTCATTGAACTTTATTAAAACATCTTCAGCATGTTTAGGGTGGTCTTATTGGCTTTTTTATTGTCTTTATATTATCTATATTGCTCCTCGTTGAGTCTCTTTTCTATTTTGTTCTTTTCTATTTTTCTATCTCTCCTTCGGGAGTTTGTATCCTTGAACTTTTTTTCCTTTTCATTGATATGAAAATTTGTTTATTGTTAAAAAAAAAAGAAGAAAAGACATCTTCAGCATGTTCCAAAATACTGGCCATCCTTTCATACTTTTCCCTGGAATAAAATTCTTTTCAAACCCCTAGATTTTGGCCACACAACACATTCAAAATGCCAAATAAAATCAACATGATGCTTTTGAATTCGACAAGTACCATACTGATGTCTTAGTCTCACTATATCTGAAAACTATATAAACATGAGGATGCAGCAATTTGACTAAAATATTTTCCAACCAAACTACTTGAGATTAATGAAGAGGTAACTTACAATTACAACTCTTATGTTCAACAAAGAATAAACCTTTATCAAACCAAATGCAGAAATACTTATTGCCAACGCAACAGCTACTGATCTCCATTAATCTTGAAACTAACCTGAAGTTACCTAATTTGAATCAACCTTAACCTTAATGTGTTTGAAAACCCAATCACCCCTTCGTTGGTATTTTTTAAAATTTTATTTATTATTTTTTTCTTACAAGGAACGAACTTTTCATTGATAAATGAAAAGGAACATAAAATATTCAAAGATACAAAATGAACTTTTTTTTGTTTATTATGTTTGTCTGTGATCATGTTGAGGGAAGGGGCATTCTTATTGTGCTTTTTCTGTTGAAAACTATCTGCGTTTTGCTCTTACCGTGCCCATTTTTCTCAGCTGGCCAATGTGCAGTGTCCTCGAGACACTCATTTCTGGGTGTATGATGATGGATCTTATGAGGAAGAGGGTCAAAATAACATTAAAGGGAACATATGGGGAAAGGTTCTATCATATGCATTTACCTTTTGTTTTTAATTGTAGTAAACACTTTATCATGCTGATTATATAATGACTATTCGTAGGCAGGCATCAACCCGCTTGTTGTGTTCATTATTTTCACTCCCAGTACCTCCCGGCAATCCCCATGGGGAAAAAGAAGATCCAACTACCATATCTAGCAGGTCTGTGCCGGAGTATTTGGAGCATGGGAGAATTCATAAGCTTCTCTTGTTTGGGATTGAAGGAACTGGAACTAGCACTTTGTTTAAACAGGCATGTGGCACATTATTTATTTTGCCCTGAATCAAGCACAAGCACTTAATTAGTTTCCAAATTGCTCCTATTTCATTTAATTTCCAATCTTATATATTTCTCTTGCCATCTTCAGCGACAAAAGCTTATTGTGATCCGATATTTATGCGAGCTTATTATGATCCAATATTTATGCGAGGTGCATGTATGCTGATCTAAGGTTTTTTAATATAATAATAATAATAAGCAATAATGATGATTTGTTTGTTTCGCTAAACCATTCGATCAACTTCTTTTTTCTTTTAACAAGAAACAACTTTTCATTGATAGATGATAATTTGTGATTTGGATGTACTCTCGTTAGTGAAAGGTCTATTCTTTCTTAATATTTTAAATCTGGAATTTTATAGCATTTTTTTTTAACGTTCATGTATTCTTGCCCTGGCTTTATGGAACAGGCCAAATTTTTATATGGGAACAAGTTTACTCCAGAAGAGCTCCAGAGTATAAAGCTTATGATTCAAAGCAATATATACAAGTATCTTAGTACGTTACTTGAGGGCCGGGAACGATTTGAAGAAGAAGCTATTATTGAGAAGGAAACTGGTGACAAATTTGGAGGAACTGCTATAGTAGAGAAAAAAGCCACTTGTTTGGATGCTGGAAAGGCTGCCTCAGGTCTGGGGTTGCTTATAAAGTTCTGCTTGTTAATTAGAAATCTTAATTTTAATTTTCCACCATTGAAAAGAAATGTAACTCCATTTTTTGTTAGTGATAAATCAGTTACATCTTGGTTCGAATATTTTATTTCCCTACAGATAAAATAATCTAAGTTTTTCACTCGAAAAGATTTATTCATTATAGGGATATTTAAGGGTTTTATTTTTAATTAAATTAATCCCAAATTGTTGAGTAGAATTTTTTGTTTAGTAATCCCAAATTGTTGAGTAAAATTTCTTTTGTGATGATACTTCATCAGACTGCAAAGACACCATGGATTTAGTAAGCAGTGGGTCAAATAATGAGAATGACATTAACAGATTGTAGCAATCTCTGATAGCATGTGTAAAAGGTTCTGGTGTACTATAAACCAATATTCAGATAAATAAAAAAAAAACAATATTCAGATAAAATCATTGATCAATTCCACTCATGGAATTGACTCGGGTGGTACCACATCATGATTAACCCGTGCATGATATTTTTGGTTATGACATCTACTACGTCTGTGGTGTGAGTGAACTCATGGCTGAAAAGTGTCGATGAGTCCCAATTTCTCTCTTAACATTCTGAATTGAAGGTTTCATAAAGCAGAATGATAGGGAAAAGGCAAAATATATTGGTTCTTCACAAGGAATTAGATTTAATGGTGTTGATACTTTGATTAAATTTTATCTGTATGTTGGTCACATGAAGGTCCAACCATCCAAGAAAGACGGTAAAAATTAGGACCACGGTGCCTTTTCTGGGGCGTCAGGAAGATAATTTCATTCTGTCCACAAGGGAGACCAAGACAGCAGAGCTTTTTCAACTGGAGTTTCTTCATCTTTCTTTCAATAAAGCCCAACATTGGATCCTAAGATGTAAAATCAAATGGCTGAAAGAGAGGAGAATATGACTTTCTTCGGTTTTGCTTTTGCTAGGAGAAATTTATGAAAAGTGAGCTGGTGGTGATAATGGCTTTTGTTTAGTTTAGGACAGAGAGATTGAGCTTGAGATTATTTCATCTTTTTAGAGGATTTAAAAAAAAAAAAAATCTTAAAGCTTTTTATGTATCCTCCTTGGGTTATAATGAAGTTAAACTGATTTAGAGGATAGTTAAGCTGATTTAGAGGTTAAGGGAGAACCCTTTTGAGGAAGTTTTTTTTTTTTGATAACCGGGAATTGGAGTTTTGTTCCTCCACACACGGGGGCACTCGCACCCGCCTCAAGGCCCGAAACTGGGAGACATCAAGTAGTAGCGCAATTATGCAGTGGAAGGGAAGCTTGTATTAAGCTCATCCAATGGTTTAAACTGAGACCTCTAGCCAGTAGGACGAAGATACCCCAAGTCTTGCCAATGGTTTCACTCTTGGTGCAGGAAGCCAAAATTCATAATGCTATTTGCAACATAGGTGAAAATATGGCCCCAATCCTAGATGGTTATTTTATGGAGTTCATTCTACAATGTTGGAATATTATTAGAGACGGTCTTCTTGAATTATTTCAACATTTTTTCGAGAAAGGATTCTAAAATGCTCGTCTCGAGGAGACCCTTGTTGGTGCTCATCCTTGGAAGATCGAAGACCGTGAAGGTGGAAGATTATAGACCTATTAACTTGGTGAATAGTGTCTACAAAATTATAATACAAGGTTCTCAAAAAGATTAAAGCCTCATTTTCTAGATATTATATCTAAAGTTCAATATGCTTTTGTAGGTAGTAGGCAAATTCAAGATCCCGTCCTTGTTGTGAATGAAATTATGGAAGGTTTGATCAGAAGAAAAGTGAAAAGTTGGATTTTTAAGCTCATACTGGAACTTCCTTTTTTTAGTAATGGAGTTAAAGGCTCCGAGGTTAAATGGCTCAAGTGGACTTGCATTTGTGTCTTTGGCTCAAAGCTCTCAATCTTTCTAAATGAAGGTCAGAAGACCGAAAAATTTTGGCCTCTAGAGAAAGAAACCCCCTTTCTCCTTTCCTTTTTCTCATGGTTGCTAATGTTCTATGTAGACTTTTGAATAGGTTCAGAAACGAGTGTTCCTTTAGGTTTAGAAATTGGGGAAAATGAGGTCAAAATTAATCACCTCCAATTTGCATAAGACACTATTGTCTTTTGTCTCTATGTTGGTGGGCTAAGCCAAAAGAAACGACTGACACCAATATGGGAATGCATGAAAACAAAGAAACATTTCAAAATTCAGAAGGAAGCCAAGGACTTGTAATACTCTTGTTTCATCTTTCTTCTTTCTGGAAGCCAAGGACTTGTAATACTCTTGTTTCATCTTTCTTCTTCTATGTTTTTTCCTTCTTTTCCTTTCCTCCTCCTCTCTCTCTCTTTTTTTTCCTTTTCTTTTAACAAGATACTAAAATAGATGCTGTCCAGTTGGGAGAAGGAAAAGATATGGTGGAAGCTTGACAATTCTGGTTTTTTTTTACCACCAAGGCAAGTGGCGGCAAGTCTTGAAGTTCATGGTCCTTAAAGCCATTTGGAACTTTAGATATCCAAATAAGATAGAAGTCTTCTTGTGATCATTGGCTCATAGGGGGCTGAACACACACGACAGACTTCAAAAAAGATGCAAAATTGGGTCCTTTACCCCTCGGTGTGCCCCCGTGCACAGAAGATGAAGAGTCTTCAGATCATATTTTCCTTCGCTGCTCTTACACCAAAGCTTGCTGGTCACTCCTCTTCAAAGCCTTAAACATTAGTTGTTACCTCCTAAAGACAGTAGATGACTGGATACTGCAGGCTCTTGCGGGTGGAAGCTTCAAGCACAAAGCTAGAGCTCTTTAGAATTATGCTACAGTGGCTTCTTGTGGAATGTATGGATTGAAAGAAGTTGGAGATCCTTTGAGAATATTTGTCCTAACTTATCAAACTTTTGGAGCATTGTACAACTCATAGCTTCTAGGTGGTGCTACACTTGTAGTAAATTCTTTTGTTATTACTCCCTCACTTTGATCCTCTAAAATTGAAGTGCTTTCTTGAACTAGTTCCTGTGGGAGGGGGCTCCCTCTACCCCCGCCCCTGGAGTTGTATCTCTTTTTTGTGAGTAATATACTTCTCAGGTTTCTTATATAAAAAAAAAAGAACTTAACAAGATACGGCTTCTCATTATTAAATGAAAAGGAACAAAATGAAAAACGGAACACAAAATAATAAAAGGGAAATATAACCCAAATGAACATGAACGATGAAAACAACAATGAGGAGGAAAACTAGCCAAGGATCACCATGGGAGAATTCGAAGACCTTCATAAACACATAAAACAAGTCTTGAAATACCAAAGGATTTATGATGAATTTTTCTCGATTTGATGTTGAAACACCTCTAAAATCCTCCTCCAATCATCGTGGAAATCCATCCTTGTCACCACTATGGTAGTTTCTCAGCCTAAATGATGTAATAATAACCTATCTAATCCGTTTGTACTAGTCGGTTAGGGAGGTTTCATGTTAAGTAGCTTTCGGTAAGGCTATTAGCCGTTGGCTTGCTTTCTGTTAGCCTTCTAGCCGTTGGATTTTGCCTTTAAAAGGATCAGTCCTTTGTATTTTCAAATTAGAAAACTTGAATAAGATTTCTTTCTCTTTGGTTTTACACCAAATTTGGTTTCAGAGCCCTGACAAAAACCTTAGGACCTGATGGCTGGAAAACTTCCAGTAAACCCCAACAAAGGACCCGTGGATCCTTCAACTCCACAAGTTTTTTCTCCAAAATCTACCATCAATCGATTGTTGTTGATGGAAGATTCCTTGGGAGAAGTCCGTGCAAACGTCCAAGACATACACGGCTTATTAGAAAATCTTGGTAGGCAATTGGAGCTCATATCGGACGAGCAAGAGCGGCTTCGCAATGATTTGCAGCATACAGGGGAGGCAAATCGACCAAGAAACCAACCAAGAAACAATCCAAGACCACTTGAAGCTCCAAGAAACCATGATGGAAGAGACCGAAGGAATCAAGAAATGCGATTAAGGGTTCAAGATTCTGATTCATCGGAAGATGATGATGAATTTTTTCAACAAAACCCTCGGTTTGCTAGGAACAAATACAATGCCGAACGAGGAGGTGTTCATATTGATTTCAGGATGAAGATAGATCTACCAACGTTCAATGGGAAAATGGATGTGGAGGCTTTTCTGGACTGGGTAAAAAATGTCGAAAATTCCTTCGATTACACCAATACCCCAGACGACAAGAAAGTGCGATTGGTGGCCTTTAAGCTTCAAGCAGATGCGTCGGCGTGGTGGGATCAACTTGAGATTAATAGGCGCAGACTGGGCAAGCGACCAATTTGTAGTTGGTCTAGAATGCTTCGCCTCTTATGTTACCGCCCAACTTCGAGCAAATATTATACCAGCAGTACCAACGGTGCAGACAAGGCGCTAAAACCGTCGCTGATTACACTGAAGCCTTTCATCGTTTGGGCGCACGTACCAATTTAGCTGAAAGTGAAGATTACAAAATTGCGAGGTTTGTGGATGGCCTCCGCGACGACATTCAGGATCAAATGGATATGCAACCTATCAACCTTCTCATAGACGCTATAGTCATGGCTACGAAGATTGAAGAAAAGATCGACAAGAAACGGTTCCGAACTCCTGCTCGCCGCATCACTTGGGACAAACCTTCCACATCAAAAGCAGCTTCAGTTGATACGAACAACTTCAAATTGGCGGCTCCTCCACTTCTGCAACAATTAAAACTTCAAATGGACAAGCTAAGTCGCTTCCTCTTAAAACTACTGACCTCATATAAACGTGGAACTAATCCTTATGTTCGCCCAACTTTGGGCAAATGTTTTAGGTGTGGACAGATTGGTCATCTATCTAACGAATGTCCCCAGAGACGTGCGTTGGCCTTGGTGGATGATGAGGACAATGTGGAGCAAGATTTCGATCTTCCAGCTGAGGATGACCCCACGTATATCGGGCCTGATGAGGGGGATGCCCTCAGCTGCGTCCTTCAAAATGTCCTCCTTACACCTAAGGTAGAAGTACAACCTCAAAGAAACTCCCTTTTCAGAACGCGCTGCACCATCAATGACAAGATATGTAATGTAATCATTGAGTGAAAACACGGTCTCACAAAAACTGGTAACAGCCTTGCAATTAAAAGTTGATCCCTACCCCATCCATATAAGGTCTCTTGGATAAGAGAAGGGGGTGAGGCTACTGTTTCTTCTGTATGTACAGTTCCCCTGTCCATAGGAAACCAATACAAGAATCAAATAATCTGTGATGTGTTAGAAATGGATGCCTGTCATATCTTGCTTGGCAGACCATGGCAGTTGACCTCCAAACCATACATAAGGGAAGAGAAAATGCCTATGAATTCTCTTGGATGGGTAAGCAAATTGTCCTTCTTCCTTCTGCTGCTGATATAAAGAACAAACAACAAACAAGCACAAACAACAAACAGGATAAGAGTACAAGTTCTAGTCACCTTTTCTCTCTTATTAATGGAAAACAATTCTTACAAAAATATGATTCCTTACTTCTTGCCTTAATAGTCAAATGAGACACCTCACAACAACTAGATACAAATCACCACCTGGATATTCAAAAACTCCTAAATGACTTTCCTATCTTGTCACATGAACCTACTGACCTACCTCCTTTAAGAAACATTCAATACCGAATCGATTTCATACCTGGTGCCACCCTACCCCATCTGCCACATTATAGAATGAGCCCGAAAGAATATCAAATTCTCCACTCTCAAGTACAAGAACTGTTAGATAAAGGACATATCCGGCCTAGCTTGAGTCCTTGTGCTATACCGGTCCTCCTAGCACCCAAGAAAGATGGCTCGTGGCGAATGTGTGTTGATAGCCGGGCCATCAATAAGATTACTATAAAATACCGCTTTCCTATTCCCCGCCTCTCTGACCTATTACACCAACTAAGTGGGGCACAAATATTCTCTAAGATAGACCTTAAGAGCGGATATCATCAAATCGGAATACAACTCGATGACGAATGGAAAACAGCATTCAAAACAAACGAGGGTCTTTTCGAATGGCTAGTCATGCCTTTCGGCTTGTCCATGCTCCTAGTACGTTTATGCAATTGATGAACCAGGTACTACTTCCTTTTCTTAACCATTTTGTTGTCGTTTACTTTGATGATATATTGGTTTATAGTAGATCCAAAGAGGAACACCTGTCCCACTTACGAACAATTTTCCAAACCTTAGAACAGAACCAACTTCACATTAATCTTAAAAAATGTTGTTTTTTGGCGCCACAGATATCCTTCCTAGGCTTCCTCATCTCTCAATTTGGCATCTCAGTAGATCCAACCAAAATTGCAGCTATAAAACAATGGCCCCTACCTACTAGTGTTAAAGATGTTCAATGTTTTTTAGGACTAGCTTCTTTCTATAGGAAGTTTATTCGACATTTCAGCACACTTGCTGCACCCCTCACAGAATGTCTAAAGAAGGGACAATTTCAATGGGATTCCGAACAAACTAAGAGCTTCAATATCCTTAAAGAACAACTCAACACCACTCAGGTATTAGGACTTCCAGATTTCAACCAGCGTTTTGAAGTAGTCGTAGATGCTTTCGGTATTAGTATAGGTGTTGTCTTGTCTCAACAAAACCATCCCATCGAGTATTTTAGTGAAAAGTTAACACCACCTAGACAAAAATGGTGCACTTATGAGCAAGAACTATACGCCTTAATCCGAGCATTGAGACAATGGGAACACTATCTTATAGGTAAGAAATTTATCCTCTTCACCGATCACTTTTCCCTCAAACTTTTACAAACTCAAAAAACTATTAATAGGATGCACACRTGATGGATTGCTTTTATACAGAAATTTGACTTTGTCATTAAACACAAAGCCGACATTATTAATAAAGTAGCTGATGCCCTAAGTAGAAAAGCTAACCTTTTAACTCTCTTATCCGGCCAAGTAGTAGCATTTGAACATCTTCCAACTTCCTATGAACATGATAGTGATTTCCATGATACGTGGCTTAAATGCCAACACCATGTTCAATGTGATGACTTTCTCATCATGRATGGATTTCTATTTAAAGGAGATCGCTTGTGTATTCCACATACTTCTTTACGCGAAACTCTAATAAAGGATTTACAAGCCGGGGGCTTAGCAGGGCATTTTGGCAAGGATAAAACTTTTGATTTGGTGGCACAAAGATTCTTTTGGCCTCAAATCCGAAAGGATGTTCATAACTTTGTAAATCGTTGTCTTATCTGCCAAAAAGCCAAAGGCCAAAGCCAGAATATAGGCCTCTATACTCCTCTGCCAATCCTGGAATCCATTTGGGGAGACCTATCAATGGATTTTGTCCTTGGTCTTCCTAAAACACAGTGTGGGTATGATTCTGTTAGGGTTATAGTGGATAGATTCAGCAAGATGTCCCACTTTTTACCTTGTAAAAAAACTTCAGATGCAATTTACATTGCCAATCTGTTTTTTAGAGACATTGTTCGGCTGCATGGAATACCTAAGATAATTGTTTCTGATAGGGACGTTAAGTTCCTAAGTTATTTCTGGAAGACATTGTGGAAAAAGTTCAATACCGGTTTGAAATTCAGCACAACAAGCCACCCCCAAACAGACGGCCAAACAGAGGTGACTTACCGGACATTAGGTAACCTAATTCGCTGCCTAGGAAGTAACAAGCCTAAACAGTGGGATCTGACACTGGCGCAAGCTGAGTTTGCTTACAACCATATGCGTAACCGTTCAACAGGGAAGTGTCCCTTTGAAATTGTTTACACTAAACTCCCTAGATTAACTGTGGATTTAGCTAACTAACCCGCTTCTGTTGATCTTAGTGTAGAGGCAGAACAAATGGCTGAGAAGATAATCGAGTTGCACGAGGAAGTAGTAGATAATCTCACTAAAGCAGCAGCTCATTACAAAGTAGATGCAGACGTTCGCAGAGCTAAATCTTTTGGAGTCGGTGACTTGTCATGGTCCATCTCAAGAAGTCCAGATTTCCTAAAGGAACCTATCATAAACTGCACGACAAGAAGATTGGGCCTTTAGAAATATTAAAGAAATATGGAGACAACGCCTTTCGAGTCAACCTACTCGAGGACATTCGGATCCATCCCGTTTTCAATATCGTGGACATCTATGAATACAAGGCCCCAGATTCATTTCAACTAGTTGAGTAAACTCGAGGATGAGTTCCTTTTTAGAGGGAGGGAATTTGATGTAATAATAACCTATCTAATCCGTTTGTACTAGTCGGTTAGGGAGGTTTCATGTTAAGTAGCTTTCGGTTAGGCTATTAGCCGTTGGCTTGCTTTATGTTAGGCTTCTAGCCGTTGGCTTTTGCCTTTAAAAGGACCGGTCCTTTGTATTTTCAAATTAGAAACCTTGAATAAGATTTCTTTCTCTTTGGTTTTACACCACTAAAACTCTTAAATCTCCTTCTTCTCCTTGTTCTGGGGCTTGACCATCTCTGGTAGAGGTAGAATTTTTTGGGGCTTGACCATCTCTGCGTAAGACTTAACCCTTGTTGTACTTTGCTTCTGATCATTCTCCTCTTTAGCGTTCATGAAGTTCAGTAGCATTTCTCTGAAGGTTATCCACCCTTTGAAGTCAACATCTGACGGAACCACCAAGTTACACTTGCCCCCACTTGCCAGGACCCTTGTTAATTCCAAAAAGCTTCCCCTTCTGTTCTCGATCTTTTGCATCCATATAAAACCATCCTTACARTCAGTTTTCCTGAAGAACTTGTGGATTTGGGGAGAGAGGAGGATGTCTTGAAGGTTGTCGTTATCCAGATTGCAACCACCTCTTCTATCGAAATAGAAAATAATCTCTTAAGTTGACTTTTAGTGCTCTTTAAGAATCATCCTCTTCTTTCCGAGTTGAAACCACAACCAAACATTTTGGTTTCAACTCTACTCGTGATCTTCCTCGAGGCTATTGGTAATATTTGTAGGCGGAAGAGAGCTACAGAGAGGTTGGGACATGGTCAGACAAAAAATGGAGGKATTGAGGACGTAGGAAAAGTGATAGAGGGAGGAGAGAGTGAGAGAGGAGCCATCGAATTTTCTTGAACATGAAATTTGTTCAAATTGATGATTTCATTTCGATAAGTTTTTATGTTGCTTTTGCATCTGGTTGATTGTGTCCTTGGTCCTTTGTTCTTTTATCCGTATGTTCTACATCTTTGCTTCCATTGAGAGCTTGTATCCTTGAGCATTTTTATTCCTTTTCATATTATCAATGAAAAGTTTGTTTCTTCTAAAAAAAAAAAGTAGAAGAAGAAAGAAAAAAATAGAAGAAGAGGAGGTGGTATTCCTTCGAAGCAGTTTCTTAAGAATATTTGGAGCGAGTAAGCACTTAGAAAGGTAAAATATTTTCCCCCCCTTGCTCAAGGAGGTCGCACTGCAAATATGATGCAAAGGAACCCCATGCCTTGTGGGTGTACTCTTTGTAATAATGATTTAGAAAGTTGTTGCCATCTCTTTTCTCATTATCCTTTATSAAGAAAAATATGAAATTACTTTTTGGTGCTTCCCTGATCATGCCCCCCTTTGAATGTCTAGAACCATAGAGCTTCGTATTATCTTTTGTTTTTAATTCTTAATAGTTGGAGATATATATATATATTTTTTTTGGTGTACAGTCCTTTTTGTTTTTCATTTCTCTTAATGAAAGTTTAGTTTCTTATAAAAGATAATATCAGTCTGAGTCTTCCCCTCTTTTGATTAAGTGGTTGAAGTTGGAAAATAATATTGTTGATCTGTGATTATTGGTGTTCTGGCCTTTGACACCTATATGGATTTTAATTTTAGCTGCAAAGAACCTTGTATGGATTCTTAAATCTCTATGTTCAAGAGCTGAAAAGGAAGCAATATAGATATTTAATCAACCAAAATTTGGTGAGTATGTTATGCGCTGATTTGTGAAGTATATGCAGCTGAAACAGGAGTAATAGAAAGTAAGCAATGTGTATATTCAATCAACCAAAGATTCAAACACTTTTCTGATTGGTTATTGAATATCATGGCTACTGGTGACTTGGATGCTTTCTTTCCCGCTGCAACACGTGAATATGCTCCAATTGTGGATGAATTGTGGAAAGATTCTGCACTTCAGGAAACATACAGGAGAAGGGAAGAATTGCATAGCCTTCCTGATGTTACAAAATATTTTCTTGATCGGGTATGCATCTGTTTTTAAAAAATTATTTTGTTACATTTCCATTATGCACCACATCTTAGACAGTTCTTTTCTTTATTCAGAAGGCAGAAAACAGGATGGAAAGCTGCTCTGTACCCATCAAAATATTTGTGATAACCACCATAAAAAAATAATTGCTTGACATGCAGTGTACGAATCTTTAAATATAGGCAAAATTATGAGATGATATTGCGTCAAGTGCAGGATACTAGATTTCTGAATCAAATTACTAGTTTTTCCATAATCAATCACGGTTGACTACTGTTCTTTATTGGCTTGGGGAATCTATTTCTTTTCACTCTCTTTGGGAGTTTGTTTCTTGAACTTTTTTCTTTCCTTTCATTTATCAATGAAAATTTATTTCTAGAAAAACAGTTAAACTACTGTTCTACTATTGACTTCTATAAACTGCTATTGGTGGAGAACTACTGTTCTACTATTGACTTCTATAAACTGCTATTGGTGGAGAACTCTCACATTCCATGCTTTGTCGTTATTTTCATAGTTCGTTGGATTATGTGAAATGTGGTTTATCACAATGAATATTATCCATAAAGCTGACTCTTGAACTTCGTTATTCCCCCCCTCAAAAGTGTATAGTTATAATTTAATTTGCAAATCTCCAATTCATTATCTTTAATGGATGTTTCTGCAGGTGATAGAGATATCAAGCAATGAGTACGAGCCTTCTGACAAGGATATATTGTATGCTGAGGGAGTCAGTCAAAGCAATGGCCTTGCCTTTATGGAATTTTCTTTCGATGATAGAAGCCCCATGTCTGAAGTATATGGTGAAAATCTAGAATTGCCCACTCCAGTAACGAAGTAAAAAGTTCTTTTTCTTCCCTATATGGTGTTTTTTTCTTCACTCCCATTTTCATCTTCTCACGTTTATGTTTGTTTTTTCTTGCCGCAGATACCAACTTATTCAAATAAATTCCAAAGGATTGGTTGATGGTTGCAAATGGTTAGAAATGTTTGAAGACGTGAGGGCCGTGATATTTTGTGTTTCCTTGAGTGACTATGACCAAATGTGGTCCCATAGTAAGGGTCCTCTGCAGAATAGAATGCTGGCTAGTAGAAATTTGTTTGAGCGTTTGGTGAGGCACCCTTGTTTTAGGAATACCCCTTTTGTCCTGCTGTTAAACAAATATGATGCATTTGAGGAAAAGATAAACCAGGTTCCATTATCGACTTGTGAGTGGTTCCAAGACTTCTGCCCAGTAAAACCACACAACAATAATCAGACACTGGCACATCAAGCGTACTATTACATTGCAGTGAAATTCAAGGAGCTATATTTATCTATTAGTGGCCAAAAGTTGTTTGTTTGGCACACACGAGCTCGAGAGCGGGCCTCAGTGGATGATGCATTTAGGTATGTTAGAGAGGTTCTCAAATGGGAAGAAGAGAAGGACGATAATTTGTATGATATCACTGGAGACGAGTCATTCTACAGCACTGAAATAAGTTCCTCACCAGGCATGAATAATCTACCAATCAGTTGAGGCTAGCTGGACGGTCGTGGTTCTTTTACCAAGAGGGATGGAATAGCCTGTTGAATTGCTTTTGCCGTTCTCAATTAACATTTTTGGTTTTCCACTTTTTTTCGTCTGAATTCTGAATGGAATTATGATTCATAGATTTAGGAAATAGATTGGAATATTGTATTTGACTGGGGGAGGGCGGGATTGATTTATTAACCTGAATTTAGGGGTGATTTGTTGTCTGTATAGCAAGAGTACCTTATTTAAGTAATAAAAGGCAAGGTCTTCTCACAATTTGTTTGTTCTCGTTGCCATTCACGTACACCATCCCAGCTCATAATCATAATAAGGACAACTTTCAAGGTCGACATCCACATCCCTGGCCAACGCATTGTTTTTCAATGGATCCGATGAACTGCGTCCAATAGGATTTGAACCTATATTAGAGGTTTAGAAGACCTGTCCTATCCATCGAACAGTGGCCGCTTTTCATTCTTTTTTTTTTTCTTCATATTTTCACCTCTTGTTCATAAAAAAAATGTGTGAGAATTTTGGAAATTGCGTGTTCAATTCAATGATGCATTATTGGTCAAAACCACCCCCTCTGCCTCATCGTTTGCTTCTTGCCGTCTTGTCGTCGTTGTCCAATCATCTTTGACTGGTCGCCCCTCTTCCAGATCTGGAGGAGAAAGGAATGAAAGGCACTTTGTTCAGTGGAAGGATGTTCTTCAAAAGAGGAACTTTTCCATTGCCTTTCAAGTGGAAGAGGGAGTTCCTCTTTCAAATCTGGAGAGGTTCTTTCACATCTAAAAGAGGAAGGAGCGGTGGCGGCAAGACAACGGGCTACAGCGGCAAAGAGGCCAATGGCAATAACAAAGAAAAGGCGGCAACAGCGAAGTGTGCCGAAGAAGAGGAAGAAAGGAGAGAGGAAGAGAGGACAAGTCTTAATAATCCACATATATATTATTAGATTAATATATTTTTCAAATCAGCAAATACAATCATCCATTCAGCCATTTCAGTGTCGCATCATTTATAGTTAAATTAGACTGTAAATTTTTATTGGAAAATAACAAACAACTGAAATTTTCCATAAAATTATATTCTCAAATACCAAAGGATCGTTAGGATGAACATAAATCAATTTGTAAACTAGTCAAACTATTAGATATTATCTCTCCATTTTAAAATAAGAAAAGAAAATTAAAAATATAACTCAATGGGTGAAACTGGTCCAATTATTAGATATTATTTATCTTTCCATTTTTAAATAAGAAAATAAAACTAAAAAAATAGCAAATATTCAATGTCAGAAGACTCCATTACCGCCAACACCTTACCGTTTTCCTTCTTTAGCTACTTATTTTTTTCGAAGTATACAAAATCAGCCGAATAAAGTGCCAATCATTAGGCTTAAAGAAACTGCTGCTTTTCCTTAGAAAGAAGTAACAGCTTTAAAAAACCGTGGCCACGCACAACCATCATCTGATCGCAGAAAATTTGCAGATCATATTCCATACTCCAGTAGGATCGTGCTTTCTTCAGTAAAAAGAAATACTATACAACAGCTTTCTTCTGTGCTGTTTCTCGAAGGCAATCACGATGTCATCTATGGTACCTTCCCATGATTCAGTCCGTTCAATCTATCATAAAAAATTCCATTAGAAACCAATCAACACAAACTAATAATGAAAAAGCCCAAGAGAGCTAGACCTCCTGGCAAAGATCAAAAGTAAGGCGAGCTCCTATAGCTGCCTCCTCGTGGTTATCTTTCACCTCCAAATTTACAATCAGTACAGTTTTCATCAGTCCATGATCACGGGTGTTGAGATCTGCTCAATTATTGCCAACAGACAGTTGAGCAGAAAGAATAGTTCAGAAGCGGCCCACTTTGGTAGATGAGTAATATCAGAAGCATACAGGAACACGAGCATACATTGTACATTAAAGAACGCAAGATAGGCGCACACCAACTTAATTGGAAACAGCTAAATTGTTGTACCTAGAGGTGTTTCTGAGAACTAAAATATTGGTTCTTGAACAATGTATTTATTTTCAGAAACGGAAGAAGGAAGCAAGAGAACAAAGTTTCTAATTAGAATTTGCCTGTCTATGCGTGAACGAATCAGAGACAGCTATTTATATAACAAGCTTCGTGCCTGAAAAACTACGCATAACAACATAATAGCAGAGTAGCCAAATAACCTAAGACAAATCATTACACGCATGCCTGACAACCTGTTTTAAAAACCTCATTTTGAGCTAACTTCCAATTTCTATGAACTTCCAACACTTTCAGGCTCCACATTTTAAAAATTCTGACAATATACGTGAAACTCTCAACTCTACATGAAATAGCTATGCTTCAAAATACAGAGGAATGAGTAAACAGTCGAGGCTTAGTCCCAAAAAAAGAAAAAGGGTTATCGCATGTGAACATAGGTAGGCTTATCTTACAGAAATTCACTGATGACACTAAATAAAGGGACGATTCTCTATTTTCTATGAAAAATTGAAACAATATTCAGAACAAACCATAGTTCCTTGACGTCATGAATTATTAGATAACATAGGGGGTGTCGATCATACGGGGAGATAAGTCTATTCGTATACCAAAGACGGGGAAAAAAAAATTTATTCCAACTTTTTAGTTTTTCCTCCACGTTTCTCCACTTCCCTTAAAATTCTGACTCTCTCCTATCATAGAAACCTCAAAACTTATGTTGATTATTATTTTGATAAGACAATGCCAAAAATTGTAATTACAAATTCAACCAATTCATTAAATCTCGTCACAAACAACGCTAGAAAGTAGGCTCAAGCACATATGAAAGAAATAGCTAGGAGAGCTATCAATTCCCTCTTAGCTAGGGAAAAAAATCATAGAAATATCTACTGAGTTCTCTTTCTGCAACACACGATAATGCATTCCTTTCTTCATCATGAAACTTAACCAAAATATTCAGGGAAGGCCCAAACACCCCATCCTTCTGAAGGAACTGCTAATCCTTAATTTACTTTATTATTATTATTGCTCACAGACCACCTGCCCCTTCCACTCTTTTCAACTTTAGAGGAACCAGAAGCACTCAACACAGAACCACAAACAGTGACCCACCAGGAAAGTATCGATTCCATAAATTTAACTAACACAACCCAATTCACCCATTTCTTTTTATCTTCATTCCTTGATTATTACTCCAAGATTACTTGATTTTGAAACTTGACGCCTACAGAGACGCAAAAATGGCGCCCAATATGGGGAGATGTATCATTAGATCTAGGTAAACGACATATTTCAAGTTTCAACAACAAAGAAATCACCTTATATACAAAGCTGAAGAGTTGAGGTAAAATTATGGTGCTCTCTCCTCTCCTCCCCTTTCCCTCTCCGGCGTTCAACCTCACCATCACCACTGACCCAACCCACCATGTCTGAATCCTTTACCACACTTCTCTCTGTCCCCTCTTCTTCTGCAACACCACACCATAATTCACTGGACAAATCCAAGAACCGATTAAAGGAAATCATTCTCGATTGAAATAGATGAAAGCTCAAAAGGAAGTTAAATTCAAATCACCGAATCAACAAAGGACAAAGTCTTCTCCATCGTTGTACACTAGAGCACCTTGAGATAGATTATCGACAACTTCAAAACCGTCTTAGATACTCCTTTAAGTTATAAGTTCTTCAAAGAAAGAAGGATAGATGATCAGACTTTATGGATTGAAAAAGTCAACAATAAACTGGGATACTCGGCAGAAATAGTTCGACTGGACTCAAATGGAGGCAAAAACAGAATTCTCATAGCTGTGGGACCACAACGAAACGGTTAGGTTTCTTTCATTGATCTCATGTCTTTTTACAACTTTGATGTCTCTGGTACGTCTGCAATCACTCCAGCTCCTCCTCCATTAAAGATATCTTATAAAGATGCAGTCTCTAAGTCAAAAGATTTGACTGCAGAAGCAAGAAAAGACAGCAATCATGTTGCCACAAAAGAACTTCATTTCACCTACACAAGGGACTGAAATAAATGTTCTACCCTTTGACTTCAAAAGCATGATAGTGGTCCAAAGCAAGAATTTTCATGATATTGGTACAAGATCCTTAGAGCTTTGCAAAAGGAGGTGTTAGGATCCTGAATACACTAAAGGAAACTAAGTAACTACATTGCAATATCAAAGAGAAATTACAATATTAATAGCCTTCTGAGAGGGTCATCTCTCTCACAAAGAACTATACTAAGCTCTTCACCATAAACTATTTCCCAAGATGCCTTCTCTCTCTCCCTACTACTTCTATTTATAACAAACTCACCCCTAACTAATTACTATAATGCTCCTAACTCATATACTAATAATATTCCCAAACTATCCCTACTAGGACTCTCACAGGTGGTCACAAGCTTTTGTTCTTTAAACCCTTACCGATCCAACAAAGCTTTAATGAGTTGCCAAGACACAGAACATGCTCAGATCTTAGGTAATCGCAGAATCTAGCAAGAAGTTGGACCTTTCCAACTTCTTTACAGCCCTTGCAGTCCAGAAAATCTTACTTGAGACCAGGTTGTTCCATCTTATGGTGGATGGATAAAGGTTCGACGTATTCCCATAGATAGGTGGAACATGGATACCTTTAAAATCATGGGGGAGGCTTGTGAGGGTCTCGAGGCAGTTGCTAATAAAACCAAAAATCTCATGGACCTCATGGAGATCAGTATTAAGGTGGAAACTAACTCCACCAGCTTTATTCCAGCTTTCGTCGATCTTCCTTCTTAATTGTCCTCTTCGCTATTTTCAACCGTGGACCCGTTTTTTCTTTTTTTCTTTTTTTCGGAAGAAAACCACCAAGACTACATCGTTGGAATCCATCGTACTCACCATAGAGAGCCGGAGAGTGAAGATAGGCGCGTGGATAACGGTTTACCGAAAAGTAGCAACCGTACCATAGAAAAACACAAACAGCAGAGCCAAGTATAAACAAAGCTCCACGAGGAAGTCCAATACCATATTGAAGAAGCAAATGCCAAGTGTAAACAAGATGCTGACAGCAAGCGAAGAGAAAAGGAGTTAAAAGGAGGGTGATATAGTTATGATTCATTTGCGAAATGGACGAGTTCCATCTGAATCTTACAACAAACTACTAAAAAGAAGCTTGGTTGCTTTGAAGTTCTTAAGAAATACGGCCCTAACGCCTATAAGATCAAACCCCTCGAATTTTAAAACCAGACCTATTTTCAACGTCTCAAGTATTCACCATTTTGCAGCCCAGATGGATTTACTTTGGCAAGTTAACTCGAGGACGAGCTCTGCTTTTAGAGGGAGGGAAATTGACATAACCAAGTGATATTAGTTAGTTCGGTAGAACCTTGTTTAGCTATTTTAGTTAGGATAGTTTTTCTCAAACGGCTTCTTTAACACAAGCCTTTAAACCGTGGCCTTCCTCCTATAAAAAGGAAGCTGCTGTATTTATTTAGAGGTTAATCAATTCTGCTGTTAATAAAATTCTCTCTTTGGTTTACATCAGTCATGAGCAACAAGAGTAGTATCAAAGATTTGTCGACCTTTAACAAAATATATTTTTTTTTTGGATAAGAAACATTCTATTAGCAAAAGCATAGAAAACACAAGAAACAGCCTAAGGGCAGGGGGAAGAGGGATCCCCTCCCAAGAACTACAAAAGAAGAGCTCTCCAGTCTTGCATAATCGAAGAGAGGCTATAATTACAAAAGTATTTTCTATGCCTATGACACCACCATGAAGTGTGTAAATGAACTGTATTACAAAAAACTTCAAAAGAAGAAATCTTATCTTCGAAGATTCTAGCGTTCCTTTCCAACAAAATATTATTGATGTTCTATTATGATGGAGAGTAGGACCTTTTATAGTCTTTTGAATAAAACCCTAGCCACAATTTTATCCAAGGAAGAGATGGGACTACTAGGTCTAAGATCTCCAACAGTTCCACCGTCCAACTTTTTGGGATGAGGTAAATGTATGTTTTGTTGAAGCTTGCATTAATAATCTCATTCTTGAAGTCAAAAAAAAAAAAAAAAATTCTCATTCTTAAAAAATCTACATCATCAGCCATATTTCATATATACATACGCATTGTATGTTATTTATGTTGAAAAATAATCCGCTGCATATAGATAGCGCATAAAATGCACTCTAAAGCTTGGCTTATTATCTTTTCTCAATAAAAGTTCAGTTTATTATAAAAAAAAAAATGCACTCTAAAGCATCCAAAACATCATCAGTCATAAGAATGTCACCATCCAGAAAAAATGATAGAAATAAAGGGGAAAATTTTTCTTACAGCCAAACAACCATAATGAATTGCAGCGCCATTAAATTGCACAAGCATAAATACAAGAAGTAGGCAAATTAACCTTCAATAACCATATCAAAAACCTTTTCTTCAAAACTAAATACCACGTCAAAGGAACCGTCCGCGGCATTATCTTGCCAACGTTGAGGAGCCGTTTTGACGGTGGCATTTCTTTTGAGCATGGGCAGAATGCCATTACGCTTATATCTATGCACGTTTTAAGGTTAAATTATAATTGAGCTTTAGAGTCCAACCAGGAAACTATAAAATTTACAAAGATATCTACAATTTCAGAAGACTATAATATCACCAGTCTTCGGGTCCTTCTCAAAAAGAGGACGCGGGGAAAGGATACAGTTCAGGATCTTTTCGACGGAGATCATCGAACATGTGCTTGTACGGGGTACCAAAGTCGTATACATTGGGTTCTCGGAGAGAAGGTCCAGGAAGCTTCACGTGAGCCCCAGTGCCATAGGATGAAACGTTGAAGCCTTTGCTTTTGAGGATAGAGTGAGCCTCCATGCTTCGATTCTGGTTGGATGAGCAAACCATTGCATAACGATACTTCATGGCGAACTTCCTCGCTGTATGACAAAATACAAGACGAGAAGAGAAAGGATAGGAGCACCAAGATCAGTTGTAGATGTCGAGATCAGATCACACTTGAATTTGGAACGCTCCAGTGCATTAGCCAGGATAATTGGTCCAAGTGCGAAATACTGGTTAGGGCCAAAGAAGGAAGGAAGGGGAAAAAAAAAAGGGAAAAACTTAGTTTAAGTCCAAATTTTACAAAACTGCCCTTTCTTTTCTATCCATCTTCCCCTCCGTTTAAAAAAAGTCTCCGTCGTCTCTCTTTTAAATTCAAAGAAATCGGCCTAAAATACTGGTCATATTGGACAACAGTGAAAATGTAATCTCTTTAAATTCGTCGATAACAAAATAAAATGAGACTGAAATATTAATTGATCAAATGATGAGTAAAATATATTTTTGTTCTTAAATTAATTTTTATTTATTCTTTAAATTTAAATCCATTGTTTTTCCTCGCTGGGAGGCTAGTGTAACCTCTCATTTGGACAAAAAATTGTCACACAGATACCTACTTAATCTCGGAAGTTACTTAAAATATGAATAGTTTTTAATCTCTCTCATGTGTCAGGTATAAATTTTAATTTTAATTAATCTCTAAATTAAGTCGATTTAACTAATTAATGATGTGATAAGTAACGTATCTTAATTAAACTTTATTTTCTTAAACTATGCGGAGAAATTTTATCATTCTTCTCTATTGCTTTAGTGATTTTTTCTCTCCTCTTCTTTACTCTCATCTCTTCTATCTCCTCTTTTATTTATTCACCATTTCAATAGCGCCACGCTCATTCCTCTTCATTCATCTCTAATTTAACATTCAAATATATTGATTCTAATTTATCACATGAAGTAACGAGTTTTTGGACAGCTAGCTAAATTCATCGACATTCATATTAAGTCATTGTAGATATATGTTATTGTTTAAATAATATACGTTAATAACGATCCATTTGACTGATGTACCAATTAGAAACTAAAATCAAAGAAATTAGTTAAAATTTTAAATTCAAATTTGAATGATGAAATGTATCAATTTTTAGATCGGAGGACCAAATATAAACTAAATTTAAATCTAAGGACTAAAAAGGGATGGTTTTTTGAATTCATGGACAAAAAGTAAGAGATATGCATGCTTTAGCATGCAAAAGTTTGGTTATAATTTTTAAATTTTTGTCATTTAACTATGTTTAAATTTTAGATTTATCACCCGACTAAAAAGTCTTATGCTTCAGAAAATGAAGCTTGTTTACTCATCGGTTAGCCTTTTTTCACCTAAAATACTCTACGAATTACAGGTAAATTGTAAAAAACGATTTTTTTTTTCTTTTGAAAATTGCCTCTTGCCGTTGCAGTGATATTTTGAGATTAGAATCATGGTTGAGTTTTATCATGTTATGTGTAGACTGTAGAGAAGAAAAGGAAGGTGATATCCACAGAAATGAGGAGTATTTAGAAGTGGAAGGAAAGAATTGTGGTTGTGGTCGTATGAGATGAGAGAATAGACTTTTACAAAACTCGTTGCCGCCTCTGCATCCATTCATTCGTATGCACACACGTGCCAAAACGTGTTTCACAATTTCTTCTCTCTCGAAGTCCAATTCGCAGTTGCTGAAATTTCTGGACTCCTCCTCTTCCTATTCCATCTGCAGGTTTGTTTTTATTCTCCTTTCCTCGCTGAAATTCGTCGTTCTATTTCGGGTTCCCTTCCTCATATCTTCCTTCATACGCCTCTTGCCAGATCCATACTACAACACACATGGAAGCCGCCACTTCAACTTCAACCTTTGCTATTGGATCGCTATTTCGGGACAGGCCCCGTCTCCTTTCTCTTCCTTCCAAATCCCTGCTCTCTGTTCCTGTAGCCGTAAGATCCTTTTTTTCTTTTATCCCGGACTCATTATTTATCAACTGTTTATAATATTGTTAAATAATGTTATTTGAATTTAGTTTAGATTCCACGCCAATTCGTTATGGATGATAAGATCTTATAATTATATAATAGTATAAATAGGTAAAATTCAATTTTTTCTTTTTTCTTTTTTCTCTCCGCTTCTAAAACTAACACATCTCATTATGGCTTCACAGCATGATCGCCCAAGAGTGGGAAAGAAGGCGATTAGTCATCGGGGTCGGAGGGTGGGATTCCCAGTGGTTAAAGCGTGTGTGTCTCCGGACCCGCCTCAGGCTGGTTCCGCTGCGCAAATTGCTCCACTTCAGCTCCAGTCTCCAATTGGCCTGTTTCTATCTCAAATCCTGACCATCCATCCTCACCTTCTTCCTGCGGCCATCGACCAGCAGCTTGAACAGCTGCAAACTCAACGTCATGCTGAAGAGCCCCCTGCTTCGGCTGCTACTCATGACATTGTATTGTACAGGTTAGTCCCGAATCCCTGATGGGTTAACAATTATTTGATACCAATTTCTCTTTTACAAAAACAAGAAGAAAATTCAATTGTTTGATTAGAAGAACACTGAACACCAGAGCTGCTTAATACTCACGTAGCTTAGCACTTGAAATGTTTAGGAGAATTGCAGAGGTGAAGGAAAATGAAAGGAGAAGGGCTTTAGAAGAGATCTTATATGCAATGGTGGTGCAGCGTTTCATGGACGCCAATGTTGGTCTAATACCAGCCGTTGGCCCACCGTCTGGGGACCCATATGGCCGAGTTGACACATGGCCACAAGATGACGAAAAGCTGGAGCGGCTTCACTCCTCGGAAGCAGGTGAGATGATCCAGAACCACCTGGCTCTCATTTTGGGCAATCGGATTGGTGAGTCCGCCTCAGTGGCCCAAATAAGCAAAGTGAGAGTGGGGCAGGTGTATGCCGCGTCTGTGATGTATGGCTACTTCCTCAAGCGGGTGGATGAGAGGTTTCAGCTTGAGAAAACTGTGAAAGTGCTGCCAGCGCCAGCTGATGGTGATGCAATGGCAACACACGAAGGAGAAGAATGGGATTCCCCCTCCAATGCAGCAGTGCATCCTGAGATCTCTTCCATGCCAGCTGGACCAGCAGGTGTTACTCCTTGGGAATCGCGTCTGGGGATCAAGCCCTCCCGCCTCAGAACGTACGTAATGTCATTTGATGGGGAGACGCTACAGAGATTAGCAACGATAAGGTCAAAAGAGGCCGTTGGTTTGATTGAGAGACACACGGATGCGTTGTTTGGAAGACCGCAGACTGTGATCACCCCCCAAGGAACAGTAGATACCACCAAAGACGAGCTTATCACAATCAGCTTTGGTGGGTTGAAGAGACTGGTTCTGGAAGCTGTGACTTTCGGTTCTTTCCTCTGGGATGTTGAGGCTTATGTGGACTCCAGGTATCATTTTGTCATGAATTGACCACAATGCACAAACTGACCTCACCGCCTCTAATGAAATGTAATATAATATCTGGTTCTAGTTTCAGTGGACACCACAAAGCTAGCTTTCTCAAATGCTACAAATACAAACCTTCCCATTACAAGTTTGCCTTTTCATTTCTTCATATCAGCTATATGACTAAATTACAACGCAACTAAACTAAAATACATAATATTTTGATGAAATCCTATATTGCAGTGGCCTTTAGAAAGAAAAGAACCATCTTGATTAGGACCCGGATAGAAACTTAAATTTCTAATGAAGCATCACAATTTACGTATTGCCACAGTTACGTAGTGTAATTAATTATGTAAAATTGAGATATGTGGCCTATTAGAATAGGAGATCGAAAAAAGTGGAAAATAAATCTCTTAATGAAACTGGGAGGTGCTTGAGTTAATGTTTTTTTTTTCTTTTTGGAGAAGGAGAGTTAATGATGTTGAGTTTTAAGAGTTTGGTTTCTACATTCAAGCCTCTTTTGGCATATAGATTGACTGATTATCAATGTACTCGTCTTGCAGGTTAAAACAATAACATTATTGAACTTCAATAGCGTATCAGAAGCATGACTTTAATTCAAAATGTTTTGAAGCCAAAATATGAGCAAACTGGTTTTTGTATATATGCATAGCATTAGAATTGTATTGCAATAACTCTAGTATATATTGAAACCAGTCAATGACAAAATTCATTTTGAAAGTGAAACAGAAATACCTATATAGTGATAATATGCATTTAGATGCAAACAAACACCAGTTAAGTAAAGATAGTAAGATACACTAAAATTAATTAACTCAACAAAAAGGTGACTGAGAAAGGGGAGAGTGAGACGAAGAAAGAGTAACCTGCCAATTTTCACACTGGGTAATGTCAGCTGTACTCGTGAAGAAAACACTCTTCATGAGGAATTATTATAGAAAAGAATGCAATACATCAAGCTTGCACACTCTTATAATATATCTTATATTATAGCTATCTCTCCATATAATTGGCAAGTCGGCATAAATATTTAATTAAAGATGAAAAAGGCCACAGAATATGTTTAGAAATAAACTTATTGATTCAACACAACGACATGCCGGGTATTAATATACACAAAATATCAACCAATGAGAAAGGGTGAACGATTGGTAGTTGGCTAATAATTTATGTAAACACAACCTTTCCATTCCACTTGTAATCTGATGTGCAGTTTCTGTGTTTATTTGAAGAGATTGGCTAAAATTGGACTCGTACAATTACCAAGTAAGGTCATATTGCCATTTGAAAACACATACCGTAGTTCCTTTGTGGTATAAATGTATAAGTGATGATAGTGGCACACTTGTAGAAAGTGAACTGATTCTGCAGGCAAACTAGCTCGATAAATGCTATATTATAATAAATCAATTGTATAGTGTGATGAGTAAAATACTTATCAAGCTGCTCCACTTGCAGGATGTTGAGCATATATATATATATATATTTTAAATCTCCATTTAGACGATGCTATGTTGAATCAAAATTGTTTGTAGGTAATTGTCTGTTACAGATTTTTACAACCTTAATTTCTCAACAAATAATAATGACTCATTTTTGTCAAACGTTTCAATTGACAATCTTCGCTTTTTATATACTATTCCAAAGCTAAATCATCTTCACAAGTTCACTCCCATTGCTTCACAATCCCACCGATGTTCATGTCGCCCTGAGAGCGACAGAGAGGGAGACAGAGGTTAGTGGACATTGATTTAAACGAAGTGAAATCCTACACGTACCAATCTGCTTAACCACTCGACACCTCAACCACCAAAATTAAATTACCACAAAAGAGCCTAACTAACAAATTAACACTACCGTGTCATTACTGCAATTAGCTCCTGTCCAACCATCATGGCCTTCTAAAAGCGATACTTGAAAAATGTATTTCGGTTATAAAAGATGCCATTGCGTTTCGAACGGTGAGAATCAGTCCTTGAGCACAAGAAATCCAGATGTTGGAACATGTAGGGTTATTTAGCACTATACGCGATGGAATATAGTTGAATTACAGGGAACAGAATCATACCTCCAAAACAGCTTTAGCTTCTTCGACCAAGGTCTTGCAAAGAATTTCATAACTCGTTTCAATTGCCATCTGGGAAAAATAAAAGCAACTAATTTCAATACTGCTTAAACAAAAACCAGCATCATTTTAATGTCATGGTAGTGTAGTGCATGGTATACCAATGAATTGACACGTGAGGGTGAAATAGTTGAAATGGTATATCTGCAAAAAGAGAATACGAAACACGATTATTAGCCATTTACAATTAAATCACCAATACATCAAACAAACAATTCTAATTATTCCAACACCGAAACCCAAGACGTGATTTGGATGTCCTATTGAGTTTGGGATAACCTACAGATTTCATAAACAAGGGTTTTATTACATTATGATCTAGATTTTTTATTTTTTGGAAATTAAACGATTTCATCGATAGAATGAAATAAGAGAAAGAAGATTACAAAGGTTGGTGAGAACCCAATAAAGCTCACAAAAAAGCTCTCCAATTGGATAACAATGACGTAAAACTATAATGATGAAAAAAATGAGAGCATTTACACCAAGATATAACCCAAAAAACTATGGCCTTGAAAGAGTGACGAAGAGAGAGTCCCTTATCATGGAAGATCCTCCGATTTCCTTCCGACCATACAATCCATAGTAGAGCCTGTATAAAGTGAAGCCAGATACACCTTTTCTCATTCTTGAACGGATGACCAATGAGAGTAGAGGCCAAGAAGAGGGGCATATTGATAGAGTGAGCAGCCGACCATCCAAGAGGGAGGATTTTGTTCCAAAGCCCAGATGTGTACTCGCATGAGACAAAAAGGTAGCCAATAGACTCACCGTGACTTTTACAAACGAGTACAACAATGAGGGAGAGAGTTGGCATTCTCCTTTTAGCTTGTCATGAGTCTTTAATGTAAGAAGGCAAGCTTTCCAAAGAAAGAATTTAATCTTTTTGGGATAGGAGTCTTTCCAAATGCCACTATATAATTTGGTCGAAGAAGAGGAAACAATGGGGCTTTGCAGATCCTTCAGTAAAGAGTTGGTGTAAAGGAGCCATTTGATTCCATGCGCCGAACAATGAAGTCCCTGGTTGAGGAGAGCCAGATGGGAGACAAAATATGGAGCCGAGCAAATTATGATCTAGATTTGTATTTAATGTACCATTTCGTCTTCAAAGTATGTCAATCAGACACACCTCCTCCGGAATGTTCAAGCTCATCAAGAACAAAAATAATGTACATGATAGAGCTGTTTTATTTCGCCATGATGGGGTCTACAATGAAAACATGATTCTTTAGTTTCACTAAGGATAATATGAAACAACCTGTGCGACTTCAAACTAAGAGTTAATATTATTTTTGCCCATTAGACTTTTATGTATCATTTTCTCATTAAAAAATGTTATAGTGCCCTGGCATTTAAATTAATGGCACCATCACTGTCACTTCCCCTTCAACATCTATCTCCGGCGTGAATAGGATAGGTGAAAAAACTTGTTAAAAAAGTACACATAGGTGCAATATAACTGATCAATTTGTTGTTCCTTTTATTATTACTAGTTAAAAAACCCTCTCTCCAACTTCAATCCATGTTCTGCTCCAACCAAATTTACCCAAACAGAGCCACATTAAACCAGAAAATTTTCCTCTGCTCTTCAAAGCTGTGCCCTAAAAAAGCTTTCACCACAAACTGACTTGCCCGAAATCTGAAAATGAACGGGCAAATCATAAAAAGGTGGTTCACAGATTCAGCATTTGCTTTTGCAAAGACAATAACTTAGGGACTGTGGTAGGAGCTCAGATTTCTCCTTTGAACTCTACCATTAGTGCAAATACCGCCTAGACAGAGAGTCCACAAGAAATCATTCAATGTTTGGGAATGGAGAACTTCCACAACTACTTGCAAAAGGCTGAAATGATCTCTATTTCCTTCGTGCGATGGTTGAAAAACAACTCGACTCTGAATGTGCCAAAGCTTCCAAAAGGCAAATCTTGGTGTCTCTACCAGGTGTCAGAATAAACCCATCAATATGACGTAACAGCTAAAACCATTCAACAAACTACCTTTCAAAGCGATCCCATCTAAAGTTTGTTCCAGAAATTAATTCTAACTCCATGTGCATGTTTAACCAAAACAGCTTTATCAATAGTCAAATAGAACTTTTAAAAAATAAAGTTATAGGAATTGGAAAGTTTGTTTCTTGTTAAAAAGAAAATTATAGGAATTACTCACCCAGGCAAAGATCATCAGTACATTGATGGTGCCAAAAGGGAGTATTAGCACGACCATCTCTGATTTTGAGCCTCGTAAAGAGATCAAAAGGACAATAGAACTTATAGGCATGCATCCAAGCTCCTAGCGCCTGGGGAGCAACATTTATTAGGGATGCTTCCTATAGATTGGGCTACTTGATATAGATGACCTCCTTCCAAATGTCATTGAACTCATCAGAAGATCACCACGGCCATTCATTAGGCAATAATTCTCTCCTTGGTTCTTCCTACACTGCGACCACCTAATCCCTAGGGAAAGCAACAATGCTCCAATCAGACTTGTTGAGCTCATCCCACAAAAAACTCCTGATAAGTTTATCCACCCTTCTAGTGACTTGTCTCAATAAGAAAATGAGCTCAAGAGGACTGGATGAGAGTCAAGTCGACCTACTTTAAATAGAAGCCCTATGCCCATTTATCAATTATTTGCTCTGCCTTTTTAATCACTGAGCTCTGGAAATAGAAGGAGCTAGGACACTGCCCAAAGGCATTCCTAAGTACACAATAGGACGAGAGGCTAAATTTAGGGCATAGAAGTCATATCCTCATTGTCGTTATTTATGCCCACACCACAACCGTAGATGTGGAGAGATTAATCCTGAAACTTGAAACCAACTCAGAAGTTTTAATGATTGAAAACACATTTATGATGATCATTTTATACTTTTTTTCTCTGTTTTGAAAAATTAAGCTTATAAACACTACCTCCACCAATATCTTTATTTTATTATTATTTTTTTTTTTTTTTTGATGAGAAACAATACTTTCATTGAGAATAATGAAAAAGATACAAGAGCTACAAAAAAGCCGATAAAAAGGCATAAAAAAAACAGCCCTGAACGAGTAGAACCCCTTACAGAAAAGGACTCCAATCCAAAAAGATAAGGCCTAGCGAATAATTACAAAAGGGCTTAGAAACCGAGCCCCATGAAGAAGTGTTAAATCTAACGATACCCCAAACATAATCCACAGATTTCTCCACCCCCTAAACAATCTATGATTCCTCTCCAGCCATATACCCCATAACATAGCTAGAAAGCCAGCTTGCCATAAAAAGCAACCTCTGTCACGAAAAGGGGGATATAAAAGCACCTCCTCCATCATGGTCCTACAATCCCTAGCACGGACCCAGGATATCCCGAAACACATAAAAAAACGATACCAAAGATCCTGATCAAATTGACAATTCCACAACATATGATCAAGGTCTTCCGAGGCACTCTTGCAAAGAACGCACCACTGCGGACCCAAACAAAAGGCCGACATCCTCTAGATACGATCTAAGGTATTGACTTTCCCAAGAAGGACTTGCCACCCAAAGAACTTGATCTTCTTAGGAACTTTAATCTTCCAAAGAGAGGAGAACCAAGGGGTYGAAGGGGCAGTAGAAGAGGAAGGGGAACTCAAGACAAGGTCATAAGAACTACAAGAAAAACCTTTCGACGGACGGGGGTCCAAACTCTCACACCCTCCCTCCCAGGGAAAAAAGACACCTCGGCCATAAGAGAAAGCAAAGCAGAAACCTCTACGGTTTCCCGATCCGTTAAGGCACGAGTAAAGCCCAAAGAAATAGAAGGAATCTCTCCTCGGGGATTCAAAACCTCGGCCATCGAACGGTGCCTTTTTTCAGAAAGATGGTATAGCCGAGGGAACGCGAGACAAAGAGGTTTATCTCCTATCCAAGTATCCTCCCAGAAGTAAGTGTTACAACCCTCCCCCATCACAGAACGAAAGGATTGAGAAAAGATAGGGAAACTCAAAGCGATAGCATTCCAAGGATTAAAATTGCTCACCTTAGACCCACCTGTCGAAACTCAATCAAATGGATGCGATCCATACTTACTCACAATAATCTTTCGCCACAAGGCGTTAGATTCACGAAGGAAACGCCATAACCATTTAGCCAAGAAAGCCTCATTCCTAAGCCTTAAGTTCCCGATACCCAAACCCCCCACATCCAGAGGCTTCAAAACCTCTTTCCAACCCACCAGATGAGTGCCACCTCCCTCTTCAACACCTTCCCAAAGAAAATCCCTCATGATTTTTTCCAAATCCCTCACTAACTGCCAACAGGATCTTGAAGAGGGAAAGATAATACGTTGGGATACCCCTCAAGACAGAATGTATTAAAGTGAGTCTTCCTCCTTTAGAAAAGAAGGCCTTTTTACAAGATGAAAGGCGCTTCTGAAACTTCTCACGCACCGACGTCCAAAACGTCACACTTTTTGGGTATGACCTAAAGGAAGACCAAGATAGGAGGAAGGGAACTCACCAACTTCGCACCCAACCAGGGTCGCCCACTCTATAAGCTTACCAGCATCACAATTAACCCCTAACAACGAACTTTTTCCTTTGTTTATCTTGAGGCCCGATAACTTTATTTGTTTTGTTATTTAATTTTTAAAACATTTTCAAAAACCATGTTAAATTTTGAAAACTAAGAAAAATTAGTTCCTAAAAACCTATTTTTGTTTTTTAATTTGGCTTAGAATTCAAGTATAAAAACACTAAAGAAATTAGGAGGAAGCAAGCATAATTTTTAAAAACATAAAACTAAAAACAAAATACCAAAACTTTTCAGCTTCAGGAAGAATAAAAGGGTATCGTGAATAAACCAATTTCCACTATCCTAATTTTTAGGGATGCAAGCTGAATCGTAAACAATGGGAAAAACTTGTGAAACTGACCTAACCAAGTCTGAAAACATCAATCAAACCAATTTGTTCTATAGGTTTAAGCTATATATGATTGGTCGGTTTTGTTTGATAAAATATAAATTTGAAAATTGGTCAATGAATTCGATTTTGAAAGATTATGTTGGCTTTGGTTGGTTGGGGTTTTGCCTAAGCAAATAGTTTGATTTTCCAGAAATTTGTTTTACTGTTTTTCTTAAAACAATAATTAGGTTCTGCATCATTATTGGCCAAAAACTAAGACGAACTAACCTACTTATGCCCCTAATAATATTAATCACTTTATGTTCACTTATAAAGAAAAAAGTATTGGTACAAACCTTCAAACTTCGATAATGAAACTAGGAAGAACCACCACCCCAAAATAACAATAATAAAAGAGTCCAACTCGTATTATATTGGAGAAAATAAGTTAGCTGAAACTAAAAGAATTGGTTCTAGAAAAACAGTTCAACAACGAAAACACCACCAAAGAATCTGAGTCAGATATTTACCGCAGCTTGCTTTTGTAGAAATTCAAAGCTTTGGAGTTTGCTTTTTGAACAGTGAAAACCACAGCGCCCATGCAGTTCTATAAAAATTAACATCAAAATTAGAGGAATGATTTGATAAAAGAAGCATCCTAGAATGATTAGCAGAAGATATAAGCACAATATGGTGAAAATAATTAAATTAACGTAAAAAAATCAAGCTGTGTAAGTTTTTCAGAGTTTAAAGTCTAGTTTGAAACAATATTTGTACAGTGTATCTATGTTAGTGAACATGAGAAAGCAAAGAAAAAGCAGAACAGAGAACCTTGCGAGCAATAAGCTCAACTAAATCCATTAAGAAAGTCCCCAGTCCTCTCCCTTGGAAACGAGGCTCAATCTGCAGTTCATACACATAAAGCACAGGTATCATTTCTTCTACAATAAATCGAAAGTGTACAAATGCAACCATGAGATCCTTTTTATTTGAAGTAGTAGTTGTCTTCTCTGCATCTGATTTTGAAGGCACCCCATTGGCACTAGCATTTGAAGACTCATGCACAAATATATAACGTGCTTGTGTTGAAACTATTTCCCTGTACTTCACCTTCTCTTCAGTTGGCCACTGGGATCCGTATGGCCCCTCCATGTTTATCTTAGAAAATAAAGTGAACGGTTTTTAAACCCACGAATTAATAAGAGCTCGCAACATTTCCCTAAATTAAGATGATTACAATAGAAATACGAGATTTTAGTCCATTTGTTACCTTGAGGAGCTTTTGAATGTATTTCTTAACAGAATAAGAAAGTTTATTGCCACGTCCTGATTGCAGGCATAAAGACAGACCTGGAAATGAAAGAAACATAGGCATCCCATTATATATGCAGCATATGTTTACACCTCAAAAATATCTAAAGACAGTAGTTGCAGGGAAATCAAAAGAATGGCCCAAACAGAACAAACCATGTAATGGTAATCCTACTTATGCAAACCATCCAAACTAAGGTGAATATAAGCTCATATACCCAATGAACTCAAAAAAGAAAAATTCCGTGCTTTATACCATGATCTGAAGTCGTAACTCATTATATCCAAAAATCAAGAAGCCTTGCAAATCTCTGTCCATATACTTCGTTAAAGTAGGTGCAGACATGTGCATGCGCGATTAAGTTTATAAAAGCAAGTGGTGTCCTAAAGTTTATGTAGATGGAAAGAACCATTTGATATTTTTATTTCTTGTTGCTTATACTCCAAATCCTGAGTACAAACTAACCCTGTGTGTTTGATACCATCCCAAAGTCCATCTGCTTAATTGAACCCATTTAACAAACAAATGCATTAAAAGGAGCGTAATTCTAAATTACACACACACTTGTGCTTTGTTGTAAATATTACCTTTACCTCTATGTTTTGAAAATTTTTAAACCATTCTTCTGCTTCATGGGTTGTYCAATCATACCCTTCAATTAATTAGTTTGGACAACTGTTATACACTTGTAATAAGCCACATGTACTGATTCCAGA